GATGGTATACAAACAAACTAGCCTCACGCTAACACGAGGTGTGTGACTTGGTCGGGGTTTAGTCCCGCGGAGCAAGACACATACGGGAGTATGAGGCTTTTGACGGATCCACAGCAAATATTGAAACCATCCCGAGTCTTGTAGCGCTTTAACGCAGGGTCGACAGCTTATCCTCGTCCAGTGTGTTGGGTTCCCTTTGTTAATAAAATGTTATACAGCTTTTTTCTTAGAGATTTAACACGTCTGTCAACACTTAGATACACACTTACGGGCTTGATTCTGTCCGATTTGTCCTTTTGAAGTAATGAGCGACCTCTTTAGGCTGAAAGTGTAATATTTGGGGATGACGAGCTATTCTTGGTGGTATATAAGGCGTCGGCTTAACACTGGGTATAACTTAGTCTTGTTTGAAATTCCCCGGAACATTACCGTTTTCAAGGTTGGTCAGTTATTTCTCACATATACGTTGATAATTTTATATTTATCAACATTATTATTTATATATTTATTAATGTTATAACTTGCTTAAATATTAAGTGATATTTTACTGTATGATCATATATACATAGTTCTGATGTTGATATTTGCATATGTATTTGATCCAACAATTACATTGCAATTAGATACTGTGGCACTAATTGCATTAACAGGATTCGACGCTTGTAGTTTCAGGTAAGACAAACTTCAAGGTCTTTTTATACTATTTTCGACAGCTTTGTGAGTTCGTCTTTCATTTACGTAACAAAAACAATAAGAGACTGGCATTTCATATTCCATATAGGTATATTTTTGTAAAATATCTTGTCCAGATTAATGTTTACTTCTCCAGTGGATCACAGCATTTGTCAATCTTCCTGGTTGACAACCGTCCTCGCTTACCCTACAGAGCACGAGAGTCACCTCTCTGATACAGTGGTTCTGGGTAAAGCATGGGATGGGTTGGCCCTGTGGCCACGCGGCCTTGCTTCGTTTCCCCACACGGGTAAAAATTTGGAAGCCGAATTAGATAAATATTGCTACAGGCGGCGTAAAACCATATTTACTCACTCCCATTTAACGAAATTTGGTGGCCGTTGTGAATGCATCATCATTACCAAATGTGGTCACAGTGAGGCTATGCACCAGGAGTTGGTGCCAACCGTGGTCAAGGCGTAAAATGTATTGGCATGTCTAACAGAGATATTGTCTTTGTGTAGTACTGACTGACTGACTGAGTTTGGTTTTACGCCGCTTTTAGCAATATTCCAGCAACATCACGGCGGGGGACACCAGAAATGGGCTTCACACATTGTATCCATGTGGGGATTCGAACACGGGTCTTCGGCGTGACGAGCCAACGCTTTAACCACTAGGCTACCTCACCGCCCCCTTTGTGTAGTAAACTGTAGTGAGTGAGTATAGTTTTACGCCGCGTTTAGCAACATTCCAGCAATATCATGGCGGAGGACATCCGAACAGTTTCATGGGCTTCACACATTGAACTCATGTGGCGAATCAAACCCGTTTTTTAGGCGTGACGAGCGAACCACTACACTAGTGTAATACCGCTAGACGTATGACGTCACAATGGTTTATAGTTATACCTCTGTCACAACGGTATTAGACCTTGACTGACTCGCGGAAAGCTGATAGTCATCACATTGTAGGCAGTTTCTGTTAATTTACGTTGGAGTGTAACTCCAACTCGTTTGATAAAATGGTATTACACGGAAGGTTGTGTAGTATCCTCTCCATATTTCATAGTATTTGGAATTCTTGGTGCTAGATACTTTATCTCTATCGAAATTACATCTTAGCTGAGTACAGAATAGGACGAAATGCCGCTGTTCACACTGTGTTTTAACGCCACACTCAGCAATATTCCGATATATATGCCGATTGCCTGTTAATAATCGTGGGTGTACCAGACAATCCAGTGGCTATCCATTGGCAACAATGCTCGCCTTTGGGAAACGCGTCTGACATCCAGTTCATGAAGTCACCTCCTACGACCAGCAAGACACGAAACCCTAGTAGATGTTAGGGCTGTCTCCTCAGGCACGTGGCATTGTTTGAAATCAGCCTATGTTCATCAAGTGAGTGAGTGAGTTTAGTTTTACGCCGCTTTTAGCAATATGCCAGCAATATCACGGCGAGGGACACCAGAAATGGGCTTCACACCTTGTACCCTTGTGGGGAAGCGAACCCGGGTCTTCGGCGTGACCAGCTAACGCTTTAACCACTAGACTTCCAAACCACCCCAACTGAAGAAAAAAGTTAAATGGTTTTAAAGTCGTTGTCAAGATTCACTTACATAGTGACGTGCATGCCATGTCGCAGTTTAACGTGTACACCACACTCAGACAATGTACACTGACTCTAAACAGCACTGTCTTTGTGGTATAATCTTAAATTCCGGTTGCAAGGCAGGTCAACAAAAAGTAAGTAATATCTTTTAACGTCTTATGTTATGCTGCTGTCCGGGTTCGAACATCGACCCGCCCTCCAGGAAGTTTCGGACTATCTCGGATGCGATCCGGGTATTTCCCGTGGATGACAACATTCACCGATTCACTTATTCTTAGAGGAATTTAGAGGATTCTCCCAAGCTTTCAAAGAGCATCACACTATTCGTGCTTAAAGGTTGTTTGGTGAGTTTACTAAACTCAAGGCCTCTGTAAAGCTTTCAAAATGTTTAGTGGTAGACGTGTGAGGGAAATAATTTTGTCCGATTAGCTTGTATAATATGTTCCAGTTTTAGGGTTTCAAGTGAGGTGATGGGAGGTGAAATGGAGATTACGTCACACTATTCACACAGGAATATTTCGCTCATATGACGACGTGCATGCATGTGCATGTGTGGCTGCTTGTAATAGCCCAGTGAGTGAGTGAGTTTCTGTACTATCCCAGACTTAAGCTGGTTTGATAGTGCAAGCTCACTGAGATACTATGCCGCAGTTAGGCATGAATATCCCACTAAGACACATTATACTGTCACCGAGCCGACCAGTCCTTGTTGTACCCATTAATGCCGAGCGCCAGGCAGGGAGCAAGTACCATATTTTAACGTCTTTTGGTATGACGTGGCCGGGGATCGAACCCGCGACCTTCCGTTCTTCGGGCGGACGCTCTAACCACTGCAGCACGGTTTTGTTTTCAAGTTAGTTGTTGACTTGACTTTGCGTGTGTTTGTGATGGGTGCCACCAAGGGGCACTTTTGCACACCTATTGCGAACACCTGGTATCATCACTATTAGATAGTGATTGAAAAACACATAATCATGATACAGTCCGAATCGTACAGTCGTTGCTACGGAATAGGGGTTTGTCGATTGAATTCTCACTCTGAACGTTGAGAAATACTAACCCACAAACACAGGAGCATTGGGGCAGCGATTGATGTGGCCAAACATCACGATTACGTCCTGAGTTCGTATTTCCAGTTAGTGAGATTAGTTTTACGCCGCTTTCAGCAATATTCCAGTAATATCACGGTGGGGGACACCGGAAAAACGTTTCACATATTGTACCCATGTGGGAAATTAAACCCGGATCTCCGGCGTGACGAGTTAACGCTTCAACCCCACCTCCCGTCAAGTTAATAATGTCAGCTTTTAATGCCAATGTGTGAAGAGCACAGATATCCTTTTTTCTGGGAGAATGGGTCTAACTCAAATTCAAGAATGTTGGACGGTACATAGTAAATGTGTAGTAGCGTTGTAAATTCCTCATGTGTTTGGGACATAGCATGTTCCGCTGAAATTACCGGTAGGTGGCAGGTGAGTGTACGAAGTGGCAATTACGCACCAACGACAAGTTGCTGTGACCTTCGAGCCGTGAACAAGCAGATTTGACAATAGTTTGCCACCGTTAGTCATCTGCGGTTACTCCGTCATTCGTCAGTCAATCGTTGCCCTCCTCCACTAACCTTCCGGCCAGAATGAGATAACTGTTGACAACGAAGGGGAGGTTATATATGGTTATAACAAGTGTTAGATGGTTATAATATTCATAACATGAGTGAGTGAGTTTAGTTTTACGCCGCTTTTAGCAATATTCCGGTAATAACCTTGCGGGGGGAATCAAACCCGGGAGACTGCGTGACGAGCGAACGCTTTAACCACTAGGCTACTCCACCGCCCTACATAACATGAGGAAAAGCTTACGGATACCTATTCTTTTCATTTGTCTATAGTTAATTTCTCATGTGGTTAAAGCCCCGCCGTGACATTGCTGGAATATTGCTAGAAGCGGCGTAAAACGAAACTCACTCATAGCAAGGTAGATTTAGAATGGTGATATGAAACAACGGGCTGTTCTTTACCTTCTTGGAAAAATATATAACATGGAAGAAAGTTTCTTGTAGCTATGATGTAGCTATTTCTTTCATTTTCACATTGACATTTTTTCAGCGTCGGTGAGTGAGTGAGTGAGTGAGTGAGTGAGTGAATTTAACGACTCTTAGAACAGTATTTAAGCTGCGTCACACCAGCTTGATGCAAGTGGGAGACATTCTTACGCTCGGTCGAACACGGCTGTGGTATCTCTTGCTTGTTGTACGATCTGAGTGGGTGAGTGAGTGAGGGAGTGAGTGAGTTGGGTTTTACTTTTATGCAATATTCTAGCAATATTACGGCGGGGCACAAATAAAATGGGCTTCTCACATTGTAACCGAGTGGGGAATCGAACCTGGGCTTTCGGCGTGACGAGCGAACGCTTTAAATACAAAGCTGTCCTATAACATCTTGTGCTGTATTGGTTGTTCATGTTTCGTGACAGCCTCGGCGTCGCCGTGTTCCGATATCACACAATGTCGCAACGATTTCCGGCACTGGTGTGTCTGGTCCAGACTCAGTTATTTGCATGCTGTCGTCATATAACCAGAAAACTGACGACTGAAGCTTCAATCAGCATTCACTCACTCACACAATGTAGTCAGCTTGGTGTATTCTATTTCACACTGATTGTTGCAAAAGTTTCCATAACCAAAGGTCACGTGACCACTTTTTCTGGGCGGTGACGTGGCCCTGTGGGTACAATGTTTACCAGTAACACTCAATACCCGGATTCGCTTCCTTGCATGAGTTCACGGGTTATACCCTATGTATTTCATTTCTTTTGTTGCAGAACTGTTGATTTGGTAAACTAGCTATCTACGTGTTGCTATGGCAACAAGTTCTGTGAGCCATAATATAAAATGGCTGGTGAGTACAATGCATTGATAAACTAATAAATACTGTTTATTCGCGAAGACAGATTCAACATTTGTTCGTAATATTGTCCTACTAACATCCTCGGTTATCGAGGGTGAGTGAGTGAGTGAGTGAGTTAGTTCAGTTTTTACGCCGCTTTTAGCAATATTCCAGCAATATCACGGCGGGGCACCAGAAATGGATTTCACACATTGTACCCATGTTGGGAATCGAACCCGGGCCTTCGGCGTGACGAACGAACGCTTTAACCACTAGGCTACCCCACCACTCCTAGACTTAATAGAATGGAGAGAAAATACCATTGATAATCGATGATGATCTACGAACCTCTTGCGGCATTTATCTGGGATTTTTATTGAATTTTGATGAATCTCCAGCCTTAACTCTATACGTTTAAGTATGAAATGAATGACCTACGGGCATTACGATGGAAGTAAACAGTTTCAATAGCGACATTGATGTTATCTTCATCTTCCTTCTAACCCAACAATCTATGTTTGATGTTTTATGCAGTCGGCGGTTTCCGTCTGGCTCTTCATCCTGATGGTGGCCGTGCTCACTTCCGGCAAGGTGTCGATGCTGTGGATCCTGCGGCTATACAAGTATGAGCAGATCCACCCAGCCACGTGGTGAGTCATGCTCTCTCTGCAGCATCTGCCGTTACTGAAATATACATGTGGTCCGATTCGTAGAAAACCGGGACGACTTTCGGAAACACTTTTAAGTATTGCAGTAATTGTGCAAATCCATCACAGATCTGACGCCTCGTCGTACGCTCGGTGTTAACTTTTTACTGATAACAATAGTTGTGTGGTGATATGAATCATGTGCAGTTCGTGAGCGCTGTGTATTATGGGATGGAAGAAGAGTCACTATGCGCGACAATAAAAGCATGCGTTTTTTTTAATGTTTGTATTGGCCACACCCTTACTTATTATCAGGTTGGAGTGGAGTTATAAGGGCTTGAGCTTAACGACTGCCATTGTCAGAATGTTATCGCCCGATAATGCAGTATGGTATAAGCATATTGAAAAAGAAGCATCCATGTTTTCAGAGTATTCTGTGATCTCTGAATCTTACCTAAAAATGGTGAAAACCAAATGGAAGCTTCAACTTAAAGAAAGGGGAACAAATTTGAATTAATAGTTCTTAATTTTGCATTGATGCAATAAAATTAATATGCACGTATCTTCGGAATATATTCGTTGTAAAGATGTGTATCTCCACCAACGGAAGTTGAAACTGGACGGAAACAAGAGAATGGGAATATAGTTAATACATTTCTATGTCGTTTTCTTTATTGCATTGATGCAAATTTTTATTTCTGTATTCGCCTATTTGTAATAATACATTCTTTGTATGGATATGCCTCCACGTCAGTTATAGTTCATGGCTACATTGTGTCTATTTTTTTAGGTACATTCTCATCTGTGTGATGCTAGTCGTACCCCACGTGACCAACTTCATTTACATAATATGGAACACTCCCTTTATAAGCTCCGCCCACAAGAAGAAGATGCCCCGCCCTGGTCACATCTACATGGTAAGGCCTCATTAGGTCACCGCTGCAGTGCCCTTCAACAAGCAGCTAATTTCGTCATTAGGCTGGTGTATCAATTATCTCGGTATAGAGGATGAGGGATTTTGTGGGTTGAAAAGTGCTGAAACAGAGCTTATTTAAGGACGAAGGTGCAAAATGCGAGGGAAATGGGACACACACACACACACACAAAGTATTGATGTCAGATATTTAAACATTAAATCTGACACTATTATGAATATATACTACCCATCAAAAGTTTAGACTCACTAGTATAAATGTAGCTACTTACTTCAGTCAACTGTTCTAAACTAGAACTTGCAAAATATTCCACACTGTTTACACATGAACTGATGTATTGTAAAACAAAGTCATAACGTTGAAAAGATAATTGTCATGAGTTCAATAAATGAATAAACTCAGTGAACATTTGCGAATTCTTAACAAAACTTAACACCAACACGCAGCTGTTCACATGCACGATATTTGCATGCTTTTCAGCAATTCCATGCATAATCCTCGTGCAATTCATCTGCATAAGGTTTGCAGTTGGATCCCTCAAGTTAGTGGACAAATTCATCTTCGATGTAACCACATATATACACATAACATGAGTGAGTGCTTTAAGTGAGTCTAAACTTTTGAAGGGTAGTATATCAACATACAAAAATGTTTAAGTCCTCTGAAAGTGAGTTTGGTTTAACGCCATTTTGAACAATTACCTAATTCTAGTCATGTCCTTATATCTGTACAAATACAAACAATAGACTGGGAAGCGTATTTTGCAAATACGGGGTTGGGATGTTGCCATAATATTTAAAGTATTCGCCAAAGGCTCAAGATTGATTTCAAACATGGGTACGACCGTAAAGGTCCGGGTAGGAATGTACATTCAGTAACCCATGCTTGTCGTAAGAGGTGACTAACGGGATCGGGTGGTCAGGCTCGCTGGCTTGGTTGACACATGTCATCGGTTCCCAATTGCGCAGACCGATGCTCATGCTATTGATCACTGGGCTGTCTGGTCCAGACTCGATTATTTACAGACCGCCGCCATATAGCTGGAATATTGCTAAGTGTGGCGTAAAACTAAACTCCTCTCGCTCAAACATGGGTACAATGTGTTCAGCTCTATTTTTGGTGTCCATGTTATAGACCAAACGTTGCTAAAAGTGGCGCAAAACCATACTCACTCACTTGTAATATCAGGCGTAAATTGCCCGCAACACACACGTGCATGCACGTCGCAATGTTAGTGAAGCAATATTCAACTCATCATTAATCCATAATTAATTTCCATGGCAACAAACCTTAAATACACATGTTTTAGTGTAGCCAAACATAATATCACCAAGTGTTACCAACAAAATATTTGGCAGATAAATTACTTCGGGACACTCTACCTTTTCAGTATTTAACATTTTTTCATATTTAGCTATGAATCTCATGAAATCACTTCATATTGTTCATTAACGAGATACGTATTCATGGTTCTCGGAAAGTGCGGTGCTTTGGTTGTCCTTACTCCAGGGAACAGATATCCCTATTTCCTCACAACATCACAGAATACAGAAATCGGACATAAAGAGACGGTAATATCATGAACCGGTAGTTTTGATAAACAATGGAAATCTGAACATGAAAAACAATTCTCGAGGAACAGCCCAGTTTCGCTGTAACCCCCTCTCAATCCAGTCCCTTCCGGCCATCTCCACCCAGTCAAACCCCCCCCCCCTCCCCCATTTCCATTGATACCCCCTTGTATTGTATGTGTTTGTGTTATTTCAGGGGATCCTTGGAGGAGTCATAGAGACGGTTGCCGTCTGTATCTTCGCATCCGAAATCTCTCTCGTTCTTCCGGAACCAATTTTTCTCTTCCTTCCATCCGCTGTCTTCACTATACCGCTCATTGTCAAGGCTGCACACAATATGAAGGTACTACCTCGTTATAACGCGCTTTGTGTACTTCAAGTTCAAGTATCCTGCGTTATTATTGAGTTGATATATGCATCCTCTTTCTTTAACCTTTACTCTTTTTCGTAAATATGTTTCAATGGGGATGCAGAAAGTTCCGAGAATTCGTGGATGTTAAAGGTAGCCATTGAACGACAACCAAAAACTGGACGATCAAATGTAACTCGTGATTTATATTCGAAACAATTACATTAGCTTTCTGTTCAGTAATTCGGAGTTTTGGCCTCTAGTAATGACTCGTATGAGAACACTTTTAGATGAGTAGTGGTAATAGAATTTGTCTTAAGCAACCCATGCTTGCAAGAGGCTTACTGATTTAGCTGATGCATGGCATCGTGCCAAATTGAGTGAATCGATGCTAAAGATACTGATCACTGTCCTGATTTGTTCAGACTCTTTTATCAGACCGCCGTGATACAGCCGGTTTACATGCTTAATGCATAGAGTATCATAGAACAGAGGGACGGTGCGTAGCCTTGTGGCTGAAGAGTTTGCTCGTCACGCCGACCTACCGGGTTTGAATCCCCACATGGGTACAATGTGTTAAGCTCATTTATGGTGTCCCCCGTCGTGATTTGCTGGACGACTGCTAAAAGCGGCGTAAAAACATACGCACTCACTCATAGAAAAGAAAACCCCAAAACTTAAAGAATGATGTGTAGAAAAACCCAGTGACGCTCAAACAGCGCGATAATGGAAGACTCGTTTTGGTTCGATTAGCATTTAGCTTAAAAAATGTCTGCTAAATGACATTTACCACATGGCTCTCAGGTCCATCTTAACAGAGCATGTCGGTGTAGTTCAAATGTCTTAGGGGCGGTGGGGTAGCTTAGTGGTTAAAGCGTTCGCTCGTCACGTCGAAGACCCGGATTCGATTCCCCACATGGGTACAATGTGTGAAGCCTATTTCTGGTGTCCCCCTCCGTGATATTGCTGGAATAATGCTAAAAGCTGCGTAAAACTAAACTCACTCACTCATTCAAATGTGTGACATTTTGTTATGACCGGGTGTGTTTTAGATGACGACATCCACAAAGTCCAGCAGCAAGAAGTTCGTGCGCATCCTCACCCAGTGCCTGCACGTGACCCTATGCACATACACTTTCTGGGCCCCTGCCCTCATCTCTGCCTTCATCTACCTGTGGTCTCCTTTCAACATGCATCTCCGACACTGCGTGGCCCTACCCATAATTCTCCTCGTGCTCTCGACCGCCTGGACCCCCCGCGTGCAGGAGATTATCGTCTGCTCGTCGGGGCAGCGTAACTGGAAGGCGACGTTAGCCTACAACTGCCTCAAGATTGTGTCAATACCCATAACCCTCACAGGCCTGATGGCGTTCAACTTGAAAGCATTCCGCGAAGACATGTACCAGTTCCTGAGCGTAGGATTTGCAAACACAACAGATTACAGAATCTGGCTGCCGATGTTAGTGACTGTTATAACAGGGATGTCTGCCCTGGCCATCATGAACGTCGCATCTAAAGTATCCCTCACGACACCGGGTGTCTGGCTACCGTCCCTCCTTGCTCCTCTTCTCACTTACGGAGCAGCCACCATTTTGTGGGGGGATGTTTCAACTGAGGCTATATGGGAATTGTCTGGCATGGACCTTGCTACATGGTCTGCGACAGTTTTAGCCTTCCTTGTCTGGATTGTTCCATACATAATCCCAGCTCTGAACATCATTGAATCACCGACAGACCTTCTCCGACCTTTCTCAGAAAACTTTTTCGGATTTACCTGGAATGCAATGTTCTTGGAACAATCTCTCATACTTAACTACAGCCACAAAGGGATTGGTTCAAGAGACAGATTTACCCAAACCACAGTCAAACAAGGCAAACATAAAACAGTTTTCGTCTGTACGACAATGTTCCGGGAAACGAGAACCGAAATGAAACGTTATCTCAACAGTTTAAAGAAGATGGTGTCCACCAACGTCCTGAACGACGTTTCGGTGGAGGCACACGTGTTCCTTGACAACGCCATCGAGAAAGGCCAATACAACTCCTTCGCTTGTCAGTTGCTGAGCCTGCTCATAGAGGTGTTCCATCTGTCCTATCCAGACTTGAACTGCTACAAGACGCCTTATGGATTCCAGTTCCACTGCATCTACGACCAGAACTTCCCCGTCTACGTCCACATCAAGAACGGGGAGCTGTTCAAGGTCAAGAAACGATGGAGTCAGGTCATGTATATGAATTACATCCTCAAATACCGATGTGGTTTCAACTCCAGCAGCCCACCAGGTCCTAAGGACATTGACCTGACTTCAAGTGGAAATTTCGACACTTTCGCCACAGGATTGAAATACAGTGGACAGGAAGACTACCGTGCGAACTTATACAAATATCTCAAAGAGAAAGAAAGCTCTCACAGACATCCATCCAGTAGCACTGACTTCGACGACAGTGGAAGCGACACATCAACGGAGGCGTCAGAGGCTTATACGGTATCAAGGGAGAGCACTGCGTCCTGCTTCACCAGCGAGGGGACTGATAGTGATGATTCGGATTTGTTCTCTTACAAAAAACTGCCGCCCAAAACCCACCCCAAGGTGCCATGTACGAAGGACATCGGAAATGAGATGGTCAAGAACGTGCTGAAGGCGGAACTGGCCAGACGAGCTGATAAACAAGATGGCGGACATCGGGTGTATCTCCCGCCAGACTTGTTCTACTTCCAACCAGGACGTGGACAGCAAGGGAGATGGCGTAGCAATGGCCTCGTAGCTGAGGAGGGTTCTCACGAGACTTCTCTCTTCACCATCGCCGGCAACCAGGGCCTCAGTAAACAGGACGACGTGTACGTGTTGGCCACGGACGCAGACACCCAGTTCAAGGCTAAGAGTGTGCGGGCACTGCTCGACCTCTGTGACAGGGACCAGTCGCTTGGGGCTGCCTGTGGGCGTACTGTACCCACCGGGGGTTTTAATCCTGTTGTTTGGTACCAAAAGTTTGAATACGCCAAAGGTATGTGGTATTTACAATACTTTGTTTAAGATAGCTTGAGATTTAGACATCGTTACATACTTAATCATGAGGACCTGGGTTGCGATCCACAAAAAGTTCGTAGAGCTACGTCGTTCGTAAGCCTATGATAAACTGTAGAGTTACGACAGGTCGTAACGTTACGAACGCTTTGTGGATCGGCTCCCTGGGCGTAGATTTTCGAAGCTCTCTTAGCGCTAAGATAGTCGTAAGTGCCATACATTAACATTAACTTACGACTATCTTAGTGCTAATCTAGGCCCTGGTCCCTGCTTTGTATAAGTGTAAGAATCACTGAGCGCTAAGATCACTTAGTGAAACTGAACCATGAAAACTACAAATCGGTTCTTACAGGGGGGAGCGGTAGGTAGGTCAGCTGCGGTGGATGTTATCGCTTGTTACGGGCTCATTCATCACATGGGTACAGAGGAAGAAGCCCATTTCTGGTCGCACTAGGGCTATAATTGCCTGGGGGCGGTGGGGTAGTCTAGTGGTTAAAGCGTTGGCTCGTCACGCCGAAGACCCGGGTTCTGGTGTCCCCCGCCATGATGTTGCTGCAATATTGCTAAAAGCGGCGTTAAGCCAAACTCAGTCAGTCAGTATAAATGCCTGGAACTTGACCAAAAATGGAACAGATCCTGGATCACAGACTCTCCTTGATGTCTGTTAAAACCACGGTTGTTTGTTTAATGGTGGCAGGTATTTGAGATGAATGTTTATATTACGTTGACAATTGTAGAGATCTGTTGTTTCATGATGAAAAATGTTGGAGATATATTGTTTTTGCCAACTTTCTGGGATACTTTTGTTTTATGGCGACAGATTTCTGGCTGGTGAAGGCCTCCCAGAATATAATCGGTTCCGTCACGTGCTGTCCCGGATGTTTCAGTCTGTATCGAGGCCAGGCATTGGCTGACGTTATGAGCACGTTCTCCGAGCCCAGCTGCTCGGCCTTCGACGCTCTCGTCAAGGACCATGGTGAGTAGTTCTCCTTCACTTTGCACCTACCATTGAAAGTCGAAAATCAAACATGTGACTAAAATGGACTTTACAAGGGAGGCAACTGCGCGTTCGGTTCTAAATTCGATTTACCGTTATTAAATATCCCCATAGCCTTGACAACATAGTGTGCGTGTCTCCGAAGTAAAGCAGGTTAAGGGCACTCTAAGGGACTGCTGAAATTGTTATCGGTTCATGTTTGTTCATTACGTGGATGTCTTTGGTATTGTGAACGAATTGTCGCTATAAACGTATGAGGAACATCACCAGTACTTGTGATCACATCTGCAGAAGGAGAGGACACAGTGTCTGCCGAAAAGATTAAGGTTTGTGGTTCCATATAGCAGACGCTCTGCATTAAGAGGGGCGGTGATTCCCCACATGGGTACAATGTGTGGAGGCCATTTCTGCTGTCCCCCGCCGTGATATTGCTGGAATGTTGCTAAAAGCGCCGTAAAACCATTCTCACTCTGCATTAAGAGGATAAAGCAAGGCACGCACACGTACGCCAGGTTAAGGCCCCATTTCAGGTAACCACTATCACATCTCCATGTTCCTTCTGTGTTCCCCAGGTGAGGACCGATGGCTGTGTACACTCATGATGATGAGGGGATGGAAACTCGAGTACATCGACAACTGCAGGAACTCTACCCACTGCCCCGAGTCCTTTACAGAATTCCTTCGCCAACGTCGACGATGGGTGCTCTCGGAGCTCTCGAACATGGTTCTCATCTTCCAGTCCCTGTCTGATCTTGTACGCCGGAACGCAGCCTTCTCCGCCATCTTCATCCTGTCACTCTTGCAGATGTTCCTGTGGGTCCTTCTTTCCCCGGCGACAACCCTCATCGTCCTGTGCGTCGCCAGTGAGATCATCTTCGGACTCCCTCTCATCTGGTCCGCGCCCTTTGCGTTCCTGTTCATCATCTTCTACACTGTCGTCTGCTGTGCCTGCAGCAAGCGGATGCAGAACATCGTGACCTTGACCTTCCTCCTGTCTGTTGCGACCTTCATGATAGCTATAAGTGCAGGTTTTATTGCTTATATGGTTATCAACATCCAAGAAGGTACAGTGATACTATTAACCTCACGGATATTAGAGGAATTTTAAGAGTAGCCAAAACAGCATATTTGTAGTTTTCATGGAGATCTTGTAGAATATGTTGAAGGATGAACTTGGAGACTTCAATGTGCACTTAGTTTCCTCTTGTAGTAGCCGGTATGATGAACAGGAACACTTTTTATGGATATAGACCACTTCTTTAGATGTGTCGTTTCGGTGTAGATACTAATATCGTTATTGCAAGTAAGAAGTTGTCTAGCCATAAAAATGGTTCCTCTTCATGTACACTTATTGTGTTAGAATATCCTGATAAAACAGGCCCGTGAAGATCCGAGTTAGAACGGGCCTTCAGCAACCCATGCTTGTCGTAACAGGCGACTAACGGGAACGGGTGGTCAGGCTCGCTGACTTGGTTGACACATACCATCGTATCCGGATTGCGTAGATCGATGTTCATGCTGTTGATCACTGGATTGCCTGGTCCAGACTCTATTATTGACAGACCGCCATAATAATATTATAGCTGGAATACTGCTGAGCGCGGCGTTAAACAACAAAACCAATTACATGTATAATGATCACTGATAACGCACTTGAAGATCAGTAAATGCTTATAGTTCTTGTTTGAAGATCCAAAGCCTTCCCACTTTAAGTGATAAAACGAGTTCTTTACTCTGACACACCCTGATATGACTGAAATACTCGTCAAGCGATGCTAAACATATCTCACTCACAACAAAACTGCGTGAACCTCATACGTTTTACAAAACCCAGGTCCAATTTCGCACCTAGTTACAATGTTAGAAGTTCTTCCCTGGTATACCTCACCGTGGTATTGCTGAATTATTGCTAAAAGCGGCTCAAAACCATATTCACTCACATACATTATAAGCGATGACATTGCTGAAATCCCCGACCGCGTCATACCAAAAGACGTTAATATATGGTACTTGTTGGTCCCTGCCTGGTTCTCTGCATTAATGAGTACAACAAGGACTGGTCGGCTCGGAGTCAGTATAATGTGTCTGAGTGGGGTATTCATGCTTCACTGCGGCGTGGTATCTCAGTGGGCTAGCACTATAAAACCAGCTTAAGTCTGGGCTAGTACAAGCAGCCGCACATACCCATACACACGCATGCACGTCGTCATATGAGCGAAATATTCTCAAGCACGACGTTAAACCCAATTCCACCTCACCTCACCTCACATTGCTGAAAGACCGGTACAAAACTATACTCACTCACTAACTCACAAATCTCAAACTAACAACTTTGTGTTTGTTTACCTCTGTTATGATTTGGATCACCTGTTGCCGTGGTCTATCTTTGAGGTCTGTGTTGTTGAGAAGTATAAATACTGACTGTCTTGTCTAAAATGGTTTTGTGAATGATCTTAAATTTCAAGATATGCTCATTTTCCTCTGTGGTCGACAGATATGGCGAGAGGTCATGTCGAGTTTCGTCCCTACTTCCTCGTGCCGCTCCTCATCGGCGGGACAATCTACGCTGCCCTCATCCATCCCGGGGAGTGGCTCAACCTTGTGTACGGCATCGTGTACGCCTTCATCTTCCCCGCCATGTTCATCATCCTCCCCATCTATGCCGTGTCCAACATGGTCGACCAGTCATGGGGGACTCGAGAAGAGGTAAAACCACCACTGTCACCAAACCACTTGTGAACATTGTTAAACAGGTTTTCAAAAACGTTATGTTACTATGTGCATGATGTCATCAATATTTGTTTGTTTGTTGTTTAACGCGGAAATAACCAGTAATCCACCTATATATAAAAGATCTATAAATAATCATGTCTGGACCAGACAATTCAGTGACTGACAACATCATGCCCATCGATCTATGCAGTAGGTTTGGTTTGTTCCTTCACGCCGCAATATTCCAGCTATTTGGCGGCGGTCTGTAAATAATCGAGTCTGGACCAGGCAATCCAGTGATTAACAGCATGAGCTTCCATTTACGCAATTGGGATACGATGACATGCATCAACCAAGTCAGCGAGCCTGACCAGCCGATCCCGTTAGTCACCTCTTACGACAAACATGGGTTACTGAAGACCAGTTGTAACTCGGATCTTCACGGGTTATTACGCAGTTGGGATACGATGACATGTGTCAACGTAACCAAGTCAGCGAGGTCATCTGATCTCATTTGTCGTCTCCAATGAAGACCAATTGGAGGATCTCCGCGAGGGCCAAAAGCGAAGTAGTCGTGTAATCTGTCAAGCGATACTGGAGAGCCACCAGGATTTATTATTGCAGTTCTTCCGTGTTTGCTTCCTCGTTCTAAATGTTGGGAAACGTGAAACGTTTGTAAAATGATAAAGATACAGATTACTTACTCTTTCTACTGGTAGGCGCACAGTCTAACAACGCTACGTCCAGCTTCCATATGTCGAACCTACGTTCTCGTGAAGATCCGGGTTAGAACTGATCTTCAGTAACACATGCTAGGCGACTAACGATCACATGTCAGGCACGCTGACTTGGTTGACACATGTCATCGGATCCCAATTCGTAGATTGATGCTCATGATGTTGACCACTGGATTGTCTGGTCCAGACTCGATTATGTACAGATCGCCAACATGTAGCTGAAATATTGCTGAGTGCGGCGTAAAACTAAACTCACTCCCTACGGTTGTCTCGAAATAAAAATCCCTGCGCATTCGATATGTCATCATCATTATGCGTCTGTGTCGAACTTCGGATAACTCGAGTTATTTACGTAGGCTGCTTCAACTTCAGTTTGCTCATACTGTTGATGACTGGATTATCTAGTCCAGACTCGATTATTTACAGACCAAAGTCATATAGCTGGAAATTGCTGATTGTGGCGTTATACAACAAACACACGAACCTTATCCTCCCACAATCCACACAACTGATAATTAGGGCTGGGGCGGGTACTCGGGTACTCGAATCCGGGTCGGGTACAGCTGGAATCGAGTCCTATTTCTAGGAATCGAGTACCCGGAAAAGGAGAGAACTCCTTAATGTCTAGGGCAGACAATAACTTGTCTTTTTCATTATTGACGTAACAAACATTTGCATCATTGGTATTGTCCGATTAATGGAGGTTATTATTAACAACTGTAATATATCTGAGCATGAGCAGTCAGGAGGCAAGTTACAGTAACAGCGGCAATGGTATTACTCTCTATATTGGTTAAACCAGGGATAATCTACAACACATATAGTCTACCTGGTTAAACAGACGTAAAGTAAATAACCTATGTTCACTTTCAGTGTCTTATTGAAATCATTTCAAGTTTTTCTATAAAAAATCTCTGTCAACTCGTGAATGGATATTCAGAAAATTGACAGAAGCGCTTTATTCCTTACATTTCCGGGTACTCGATTCCGATTCGGGTAAGTACATGCGGGTACTCGATTCCTTTTTTTCCTACCCGTCTCATCCCTAATGATAATGAAATTTGTCAAGTGAATATTTTAAAATAATGTCATCTGTGAAAGGGTGAGTAGTATATTATGTGTTTTTCGTGCCTTTCGCCTTTGTCCAACACTGAAGTAACTTGTGTATGACGTCACTTCTGGTTTTCCCAACAGTCGACCGCTGGGGAGTACTGCTGTGATAAGAAACAGGAAAAACCAACAAGAGAGGAAGGTAAAAATAGTCTAAATATTTTTGGATACAACAACACGTTCCTAAATAAACTGGAAAGCGGGAAAGATTAATGTCAACAACTCCCACTGACTATAGTCTCTATATGGCTGAAAATAACGCTGATGCGAGGTAAGTCCTTGACTCACTCACTCCCAGCCACAGGCCCTCGTGTCTTTGCGAGGATAAGAGATTTTAAAAATATTATTTTTGAGATGATCCCCGACTCAAAATATCCGATGATATATCCGCACAAGACGGGTGTGGTCGAAGCAAGCCCTCCGGTTGGTTGATGCTTGTTAAGGAGACGTTTACACCTGATGTTGTCTTTTCGGAAGCCATTGCTAGAAAAAAGAATCTTACATTTCCAAGTCAAAGCAGTCCATGAAAGTAAAATTCCCGCTAATTTATAAAGAATGTGCAATATTTACAGGCGTTGACCAATCAGAGGGCTTGCTTCGACCACACACCCCTTTTGTGCGGATATATCGTCATCCATTTGTGTCAAGATTGTTTAGTTGAAAGTCGAAATCGGGTTTCAATCGACTTGCAGAAATAACAATAAAGAATTGGTAGGTGTCATAGTGGTGCTCGATAGGCCAATCATCCACGATTATGTTTACATAAAGTTTTAATCGATTGCATGCGATGGTAGCGTGGCGATCGGAAAAGCAAGCGGGTGGGGTGCACCGAAGTGTCCGGCCTTGTCATTATGTATTGTACTGTGAAGCTTTTCGAGTCGGGGGTCATCTCAAACTTTTATGTATTTGAAAAAAAATGTAATCCTCGCAAAGACACGAGGGCCTGTGCTTCCAGCTGGCATTGGCAGTGGTATGAAAAGTATGTGACAGGCTACAATTTTTAAAAGCCCTTTGGTGTTCCCAAACATTGTTTGAGACGAACTATAATCCTTCAGGGCCCTAGTGGTGCGGTGGGGTAGCTAGTGGTTAAAGCGTTGCCCGTCACGCCAAAGATCCGGGTTCGATTCCCCACATATGCACATTTTTTGAAGCCTAGTTCTGGTGTCCCCCGCCGTGATATTACTGGAACAGTGCTAAACGCGGCGTAACACCATATTCACTCACTCACTAAATCAGGGCCCTAAGGCGTTAGCCACCCATGATTGGCTATGTTGGGGCTTGGAGGGAGTTTTGGTGCTGTTAAAAATGATCGAATATACAAATTTGTATCTCAGGTTTCTCAGTAATTGGCCAATAAGGATTTTAGCTGCTTCTTTCAGAAACGAATATTGCATTTATTGAAACTTAGACTGAAATCAATATTCCGTCCCAAAACCCCGCCTTTGAATATTATTTGCTCACTTGTTCTTCAACCCGTTGTCATAAAGAACATATTTGTTCCAGAAACCTGCCAACCATTCACCATGAAGGCCAGCGACGTGCTGCCCCTCACGTCAGAACCAGAGAGACGCTTCTGGGAAAAGCTCCGGAAGTCCCTCCTCGGCAAGAACGTGAATTGTGGGAAGGATGAGGAGTCTCTGAGGCATAATCTCAAGCAGTTGCGAGACAAGTGCGTGGTCACCATGGTGATCATGAACACCGTATGGTATTCATTCCTGACGTCAGTGTACCTGTTGGCGAACAGTGACGCCATCTGCTATGTGGTGGCTGGGGTCTTCAGCTTCTCATTAGTTGTCCAGCTACTGGGGCTCACCTCCTACAAAATAGACAATTCCCTTCGACGACACATACTCAGGCGAGCTAGCCCGTCTCATCCGCTCTGGGTCAAGGACAGGCATTAATCATGTGGTATGACGTCATAATGATGTGCAATATGAATATTTCTAATCGTAACCTGCCCTCATGACAGCAGCTTGACATATGTATTGTACAGTATTACATACAGTATTTATTTTACAATATTTATTGTATAGTATTTCAATCACTACCACTGTCAAAGGTGTATGTAGTATTGTGTGTCCATGTTGGGTACTCTTGTCGAGTCGCGACGGAGTCTTTGTTACATGTTTTGATGTCGTCATTGCTTGGTAACATGACGTCACATGGGCAGTATAATTTATCATTTACGTCATCATGTTTTAAGTGAAATGACGTCACAAAGACATTATAGATCGCCCTTTCCCTGACACGTAATGTTGTTATCCATGCTCTCATATTAGTCTCATATTTCGTAAAGATGACCACTCATAAGTAATGACAATTATGACCTGCTGTCACGAAAACAGTTTTTCTACGCATGCGCCCTCTGTCGGGGATGAGGAAATAATGTGGAAATAAGCAGTATTTATTGTTCTTGCAGGTATTTAAAAAATGCGCAAGTTCAGGCTGTCATATCTTTCCACTCACTATTTACGTTATGTATGTACAACTTATGTAGATGATATTTATTATTTATTTTGTCATTTGTGAAATTCATAGTGTATTTTATGAGTGTGCACCCTGTGATGTGTTGTACGCCTATTGCTGATGATACGTCAGGCTCTTGTGGTATTTTTTCAGTTTCTGTGGTGCTGTTGTAGACTACATTTATATTTATAACACAGTCCACTACAATACACAACATTCGCTCAATTATACACGCTTCAGTTCTTTGAATTAGTCATATATCACTCCGTGCAAAGTAATTTGCATATGGGTTAAACATAGAAACAATATACTTGATGGTCGGTGTTCTTGCGTGAACATCATACCCTCAATATATGCACTGACTGCAAAAACGTCTCAAATGATATCAATATCATATGTCATACAGATGAGATTGCGTATACTCTCTAGCTCCCAGACGAAACAAATACCATATCTTCCCCGTGTGTCAAAACATATGTACCAAATATCTTCCCACGCCTCAGACGATAAACAATAATATAATCCCGGTCTCTTAGATGTTAATCAACTTTCTTCTCAGACAATGCAGGATACAACCGTCTTCCTACCATTTGGAGGTTACATATATTTACCTGACCTTTCAGAGAATTGTTATTTCGTCCTACCTCTCTTCCCACATCTCTTTTTTTAGATAATACATACCATATCTAACTAACATCTCAGATTGTACATTATATAACACACACACACACACACACACACACACACACACACACACACACACACACACACACACACACATCGAATAATAATGTCCCCATCACTAAAATGATATATATCATATCTCCCCACCTATAACAGCGACCGAGACTGAATTGTCGCTAGAATTATGAATTTGTGTTTCAATTATGTGTTTCAAGCACACCACTGCAAATAGACCAGGGGCGGATACAGCTTTTTGAGAAAGGGGGGGGGTGCACGCTATTGAGAAAAGGAGGGGTGCACACTTCTTTTCACCCGAGTTTCAATGGTCATTTAATAAACTTTCAGGACAAAAGGGGGGTGCGCACCCCTGCACCCCACCTCTGGATCCGCCTATGTAGACTTTAATGATTCCATGCCGCATAATCATCAGTGTAGTCTATTTCAGCAGTTTGTGCTGTGCCGTTGCTTGTTGTCTTCATGTCTGTAAATAAACCAGTGCATATACAGTCACTTCCGGTTTGTTGTCCTTGACCTCCATACAATTGTCATTGCCGCGAAACATGTCACCGAGTAGCCTAAGCGCCGTGTCATTTTCGAATTCAGAGTTCAGCTCGACTATGTAAAGTCTAACTGTAAAACAGAATACCCTTGCTCGTGGATTTAGTCGCAGTGGTTAAAGTCTGAGACATGGATCACTTGAGCGTTTTTCCAACATTGCGCTAAGAGGCCATGGTGTAGCTGAAATATATCTACATTGACTAAAGTATCGAACCACCCCATACTTTTCATCAGTATGTTACCATAGCAAAGGGGGTGGTGGGGTAGCCTAGTGGTTAAAGCGTGCGCTCGTCACGCCGAAGACCCGGGTTCGATTTCTCAGATGGGTAAAATGTGTGAAGCCCATTTCTGGTGTCTCCCGCCCTGATATTGCTGGAATATTGCTAAAAGCGGCGTAAAACTAAACTCACTGACTCAGTTACTACCATAGCAAAGAAACTTATCCAAACCTCAATTTAGCTTACTGTCTGGGTAAACAGAGCCTCTGGGTATAAATAAATGGCAAATCTGAATGCAACAGGAACGGAAAGCTGTAGTTTATTCGGAGAAGCAAACGTGGCAAAATATTGAGTCAACAAGTGCAGTCATTTTCAAGACTCTGACATACAATCCTCCAGAATTCACATTAGTATTAATAACGGAGGACAACGTCAATATCTGGTGTAACATCCGCCAACTGCAATACCATCCCTGACAGTTCTCACTGTCTGTATCAGATGCTGAATTTGAAATTGATCTACTGCGTTCTGTTCGTGTTGGGTGAGTGAGTGAATGAGTTTGGTTTTACGCCGCTTTTAGCAATACTCCAGCAATATCACGGCAGGTACACCAGAAATGGGCTTCACACATTGTACCCATGTGGTAATCGAACTCAGGTCTTTGGCGTGACAAGCGAACGCTTTCACCACTAGGCTACCCCACCGCCCATATTCGTCCTGTATATCAGAGTATGTACTGGAGGATCTCTCCGGCGTATTCTGCGACCCAAAATGCCCCAAACATTTTCTGTGGGATTGAGATATGGACTATTGGCGGGCCAAGGATGCTACCGCCTCTATAGTAAGAAATCACGCACGACACGTGCACGATGTGGCCTAGCATTGTGTTCCATGACAACCGACCTTGTGTTCAGAGGATGGTAATCGACTGTGGTGCAACAACCCCATCTAAAGGCCGTGTGCAGTTGTCATGTACCCTTGTTCAGATTGTGTCAGATCGTCACAAGGTTGATGTTACAGTAATTAAGAGGCTCCCGACACCAGCAATGAACCCATGTCACACGTACTTGCTCCAAGACATCCCGTTGTGCATATGCAATGTTTCTGCGGAGCTGAACGCAGGATTTGGTATCAGTCTTCAACTAAAGAAATCATCTTTCGTGAACCTATCCCCGTGACGCAAATTGCAATGACATTTGCTTTGTGCCCTGGGGATAACGGAGGACAATGAAAACAGGTACACAAACTGTACACCACTTTTTGCTAACGTGGGACCGGGGACGCACGCTCACACGTGCACGCACGCACGCGTGCGAGAACATGCACGCACACAAACAACAACATCAACAATAACCAAAACAAAAAGAGAAGAATCTGCTGTTAACGTGTGAGTTATGAGCAGGCTGTATGTGACTGTTTCTGAAACATTGTATATAAAGCACATGGAAGATCTTTGCTGTACTTGTAAATTGGACTAAGTATTGGATTTAAAGAACGTTTGAGCTGTATTTCAGTCACTCGAATGGCCTGTTGCCCGGGGTATATATCATGATAGAATGAAGACATCGCTCCCAAGAAAACTCGTCCGACATGACAGGGACGCAACTAAAATGGGAATTCGCCACCCTCACCCCTTTCCGTAAACTGCAAGCGGCTATTCGACGTGTCACGGAATAACAAGAGTGGAGCGGGAAAGCATTCCTCAAACTGGTTCGGACGTTTCCGTAACTTGCATGCAGACCAGTCGGCTAGTCTCGGAATGTAGAATGGAATGTTCCAGACAAATCATTATCACCCCTCATAGCAGGGCCGAGTATGTTTGGATATCGCAAGAGACAAAACAACAAACAGTATCCGAATGATGTTGGACTCTCCATTACATCCCACGAGATATTACCCGTCAGAATTGATGTTCAGTAACCCATGCTTGAAGCGGCTAACGGAATCGGGTGGTCAGGCTTACGGACTTGGTTGACACGTGTCATCGTATCCCAATTACGTAGATCGATGCTCATGCAGCTGATCACTGGATTGTCTGGTCCAGACTCGATTAATTACAGACCACCGTCATAAAGCTGGAATAGTGCTGATTGCGGCGTTAAACAACTAACAAACAATCTTTTCTGTACCGGAAAAAAAGATCCGATAAAACCATTACGTTGATACTTTACTGAACATATGAAGTGAAACTGCAATTTTCCGTTCATCGATTGTTCTGTTTAGTGATGAATGAATATTTCTGAAAACAATATTATACAAAATTGGAAGTATTAGAATACCTTTGAAAGTATATTTAAGACATATTCTTAATTCGAACACTGTGTGACAAGCATACTGTTTCTCACAGTGAGAAAGTGCAAGCAAATCGTAGTTACCTCCCCTAGTATCCCAACCGGAAGTAAACTTACTATCATCAACAGTGTCAAAGGATAACTGTCTTTACTGTCATGTAAGTATATTCAAACAACAAACAGGTCTGTCCAACCCCGTTTAATGTTTCAACAAAATGTCTCGACACGAATCACTCACTTAACGTCGGGGCGATCAATGTATTTATACGGTCCAATGGTTGTCTAGTCCTGTGACTAGGTGACTCAGGTTGTGTCGAAATATCATAATCTGTCAGACAGTGTCAACATCTACGGGCTGTTTTCCTTTCCTCCTCACATTGGGAGACCAAGGTAATAATAATTTTCTTGGGCACCATTTAGGATATGTAGCCGTGCAGCTGTACAGGTGCGACAGGATACCCAGTTGCCCTTGGCTTCGTCCATACGTAAGCTCGGTTTGAATCCGGATAAGTATCCCAAATGATCAGGGGTATAGTATCCCTGATCATTTGATCAGTACTATATACACGATTGGCCATATGCTGTTGATGTTATTTATAGTTATATTATCATCGTCTTGTGGGTTTTCTGATACTTAAGAACGTATGTTGATGTCTCAATCATCACATACAGTTGTAAAAATCAAACAAACTTGTTAATGACAACTTTATCCTAAACACAAGCCATCATCCGAGTATATACAATGTGTCAGAGAAATACAATGTGTCAGAGAAAACAACTAGCCCTTTCAGATTTTCACTAGTTTTTGACAAGCACATTATTGTAATAGGTACTGATTGACCAAAGTCTGCCCATGTTCAATCTGTTATTTTGGTGGTGCACCAATATCAAGCTTAGCAAGTTACGCCAAGTTTACAATCGTCTTAGCTAAAAGCAGATAACCGATCATAGAATGTGCTGATCTTACAATCCGATCCCAGCTTAGATCGAGACTCTTTCGTGAGAGAGATGGAGAAATGTGAGGCACGAGTTATCTCCTTTTGCATAGTCTAGCAGACAATGGAAGTAGTTTGGAACCAAACTTGTATAAACGTGGAGAAAAAACCTCGAGCAAAATCTTAGGGTGGTAAGCACCTTGGTTCATGTGCATTTCAAGTGTGTGTGAACGCTCGGTATCAAGCATAATATGTTGCTGAACCTTGTCGATCAGAAAAAACAAGGCGTGACCAGGCATCCTCAACTTCACACCCTGTAATACCACTGTTTGCTATGTACAGAGTTGCAATATTGTTGTACAAATGTATTACACCGACTCCCTCTGCTGTGTTCTCATGATGACAGTGTCAGACTGGCCTCACATTTGTAAGGCTTCAGTGCAGTGTTTGTTTACATCACAGAAATAAACAAATTCATTTCATGGGGGGGTTTAGGGGACGCTCACGGTGAAATGCTCGCTCTTCTTCTTCACATAGAATATGAAAGTCACCATTTTGGTTTCTCTACGATTGATTTTATCGATGCAAAATTGGTCATAAGCAACTTAGACTTTGTATCTTAACTTTACAATTGACTCGGGTAAGATTGGTTAGTGGAACGGTATGCTGATCGTAACGTCACGCTAAGATTGGGATTTTAGGGGTTTACGATTGGCGTAGGGCTAAGGTCGGTTAGTGGAACGGCACCCAGGTCATGACTCATGATCAATATGTAATATAATTGTAGTAAACATGGTAATGGGATTTTTTGCTTATTCACATACAGAAATATTCCAGCTATATATTGGTGGCCAGTAACTTATCAACATAAGTCTATGCCAGACAATCCAGTGATTGACACAAAATGCCATCACGGAATATCACAACCTGATTCGTTTGGTTGCCTCTGAAGACCAGCACAGGTGGCTGGGGACCTGTTCTCACAGGATTCCATGTTAAGCTGGAATGTAAATCATAAATGGAGATTTCTTGGACACAGACTGCATCCAGTCCTGTACATCATGGTGAATATTTTCAAACTTGGAAACTGAGAAGAATACTGTCCTATGAACAAATTTCAAAATAATTACAGGATTCTTGATTGATCTGATTCCTTTTGTGGCCAATTTGATCTCCTTTTGACTCCAGGTTCGTGTGAAAGTGAGCCGCAGCAACATGTACAGCGTCTACACATCCTCCCAGTCTCCGTCACACCAAACTCAAGCTGAAGAACAGGCTCTGGCACTGCTGCAACACCTGGACAAAAATGAACTGGAGAGATTACTTGAAGATTCAGCTAAGTTGGACGACCTTGTGAAGGATACACATCGGGTATAATACTTTCACAATGCAGTGATTCACATCAAACATTGCCCAGTGGCACACAATGAATGAGCTTTAAGAAAGTACTAAATTAAGTTTCTGAAAAATATGGGTACAATGTGTGAATCCCATTTCTGGTGTCTCCCGCCGTGATATTGCTGGAATATTGCTAAGAGCGGCGTAAAACTGAACTCACTACTAGTGTTGGGAATTGGTTGAAAATCTCATAATTAATGATTGCTTCATTACCAACGAGAAATCATCGAAAAAAATTGGTTGGCGTCATTTCTCAGATTTTCCTATTCAGGTTGTTATTGCAGATATGTATAACATGATGCAACTTGCTACTTTAAAGTGATGACTGATATATCATAAACATAAACTTCCTGGAGTCTTCAACAAATATTCAGTCATGACTTTTCAGTTAGTGAAGTGCGTTTTCTAAGAAATAAACACATTTTCAGGCCCTGGCAACCTCGAAGATATGTTACATCGACAAGTGTTTCAAAGACTAAAACAGTAGTTCTAAAATCGTTTGTGTTTGATTATGAGAAAATGTGATCGATTGCTTGGTCGTTTGGTCACTTCGACCAATCTTCGATTATTTCAATTAATCGGAAAGCCACTTTTCACTACACCACAACTTGCCAAACCTTGTCGGTCGTCTTTGATCCACACTGTTCAAAGTATCATTTAGTATCATGTAGTATACAAGAACATGGATTGAATAAATATATGCCCCATGTATTTTTTAAAAGAGTTGCACATGACTTTTGTTTTGTTTTATGTAAATTTGTTACTTTTATAATCTTGTCTGTCATGCTATCCTCAACTGTTCATACTGACATATTATTGGAAATACAGAATTTACAAGGCTCTTACAGTCCCGTACACCCTTTCAAAACACAGCGTAATGGATTTATTACCCTTAAGATCTCTTTATTTAAGGGGCGGTGGGGTAGTCTAGTGGTTAAAGCGTTGGCTCATCACGCCGATGACCCGGGTTCGAATCCCCACATGGCTACAATGAGTGAAGCCCATTTCTGGTGCGCCCCGCCATGAAATTGCTAAAAGCGGTGTAATTAATTTAATTCATCTTGAAAAACCCACATTCAACAGAAAATAACAAAAGGGAGATAACTTGTGATGGCTTAGTTTATGATAAAATGATCGATTTGGAGGTTTTGTTAAATGACAAGTGAAATACAGAAAAATTTTATTTTTAAAAATATATTTAGCGATACAAACAAATAAGATATTATGGCAACAATTTTATTACTCTGTTTATACTCATAATTGTATACACCAACTCTAAAATTCAAAGTAAATCAGCTGTTTGGCAGCCACATTCCATCTAAGGTCAAGGTCATTTGTAAACCAGTGTAGTGTATCCTGTGACGGATTTGACAGGATGTACGGTTCATACACCCTGGCAAATCTGCACACATGGTTTCATATGCTTTGGCTATTGACCAGTCAGAATTCAAGGGTATTAAAATTCATGTATGCAAAAACATTGTATGCCATGGCATAGCTAGTAGCTCCCATCATTAAAAAAAGCCTGGGCTTACACATGATTTTTGCTATGAAAGTTGTGCAAGCCCTAAAAACTATCTAAATATAAAGCTGTGCAACCTATCAGGCTTACACAAAAAAATGGCTTGCTACGCGCCTGGTATGTATTCATAAACATACCATGTATTTCTTAAACCACTGCAATTTTCATTTATTGTTTAGTTTTCTGGTTTGTATTTCCACCAAACCTTACCACCATCTGAGATCCTTCATCTGTAGATGCTGGGTTAGGCTGCACCTCCAGCAACCTACGCTGGTCGTCCAAGGTGACTGAATGGAGTGAGCAGTCCGACTCTGTGACCTGGCTGATTGTGGGTCGTGTACCTTGACAGTGTATATTTGCTCATGTCATCCATCACTGCATTATCTGGTGCATACATGATCATTTACATGCCACTGTCAGGTACCTGAATATTGTTGTTTCCTGAGACAAGACACACACTGTTAAACCATGCCCATCTGTGATCACTCTTGCTTGACAATGGTTTAAGAATCCATACCAAATGTCGCTTGAACATGTTGAACTTGTCATCCATAAAGTATCATACCTTTCTCATCATTCATCAACTTCTAAAATGCAGTGGTTGAAATAAGCCAAAAATCCAGCCTGACATCAGGGCTGGTAACTTCAAAATGTTACCAGCCCAAAATGGATTTAACCAGACCAAATATAGTGAGTTTACTCAGATGTATGGAACATCTAAAATGTTGTCTTTCAGTGGCATTTAGAAGTTGTACATTGATGTCGAAACATCGTGAGAGAAATTAAAAACAAGTTTAATCCATTAAAATATCTGGGACATCTAAAATGTTTACCAGACCATCGGGCTGGCTAGCGTAAATTTAGACTGTCCGTCAGAAATCTAGCTTGTCTCGGGGGATCGGACGGGCCTTATTTCATACACTGTAAAATGCCAATCAAACAGATCTGTGATCCTGTTTATCCAGGATTGTTGTATAACCATGATAACAAATCCCCCTTTCTCCCTGACCTATCTGACTACTGCTTGTCTCCGTTGTTCCAGCCCTCCGTGAGTGACAAGGAGACACTGCTGACCAGCAACAAGAGTCTGGCAGAGTTCAACCTGACTTTACAGCCTCGATTGGATGACCTCAAACGGCAGGTGGCTACAGGTTACGAGGAAATAAACACCATAAAGACAAATCTGGGCAAGGACAAGGCTCAGTTAGGTCAGATGAAATATTTTACAAATGATGTTGATATGTTTATTGTAATAAATCATGCAAAGTATGATCGTAGGTTTCTAGCATTATCATAATCATACCCTGTTTGTTTTCACCAAAGTGGTAAGCATTAGGGTTGGGTATTGCCAAAATGTTCGTATTGCGATATATTGTGATATGTGTTGGCGTATTGCAATATGTATTGCAATATATTGTGAAAGTGTAACACATGGGTTAAGATAATGAAATTACTGTTTCCTTTCTTTTGAAACAATGCCACTGGCCACTGTCAGGACTCAGATGTGATTGTACAAGAGATCAATTGAAAATGTTTCCAAATTGAAGACTTCGCTCTAAAGTTTGGAACTCGAGAAAAAGTATCTGCAGCGGCGTCCGCCATTTTGGTTTGACTTTTAAATGAGTGCCGGTAACAATATATATTTTTTATTAATATGGTTTAAAAGTCACGCAAATGCAATTATATGACCAATAAACATTCTCAAAACTATCAATGTAGAATAATATAAAGGAAATACAGATGTTATTAGTAGTTTTGACAACATCACAAAATTACCAATTGTATCGGGAGAACCGGTTCGCGAAAAGTGTACCGCAATATATTGTATTGTGAAGTTCGAATTGTAATATACCGGTTAACCAGTATTATCGCCCACCCTTAGTAAGAGTCCAGGATAATCTCTTCCTTATATTGGACATACATCATGTCTGACACCATTATTGTCAGATGGAATGATGGAATATCGCTGAGTGCAGCATTTAACAATAAGTAAATATTATGGATGATGCAGTTTAGTTATTTTCAGTTATATTTGCTCATTAATATTAGGTTTATTTGATAACTGCATTGTTCGTTATTTACAATCCATGGCTGAAATATTGCTGAATGCAGTGTTGATAAAACAATCATACCATGGTAACATTGATTCAGCTGGATTTTAAGTAAACAAGGAATTTGATCATGGTTTTAGCCTGCTTTCAGAAAAGTAAACAAAGATGAAGATATCAATGGTTTTAAAATTAAAAGAAAATACTCTGACAATAAGCTGATAACAGCGTTTAGAAAAAGTGGTAAATTTATTAAACCTATTCTTTCTTCCTATATGAAGCTCATGTCATATAACTGAAAATACTGTTCCAAATGACATCAGAAGCTCTCTTGACATGCATTTTGCTAACTGTTTACTGAACTGTTTCCATGGTTACAGATATGTTGGTGGGGGAGCAGTCCCTTGACACGATGTTGGCACTGTTGCAGACTGAAGCTGCTAAATCTGAGGAGGAGTCTGAGGTCAGCCATTAAATTCTTGGTTCACATGTTTATCTCACTGAAACTGCGCACTTTCAATTGTATCACAAATATTTGTACCGGTACATATTTGCTTACTTTGGTGACCTGGAAAATTCATAGTGGAAATATGGACACACGAGCAGGACACAGAGCCTTTTTGTGTTGTCATAGCCTGTACAGAGTTATCTCCCCTGTATTTCAATCTCTCAGGCCAAGTGAACAGTCTGATGGAATAGTTGAAATTGTATTAAGGGGCCGTAATAATTTATGGCTAGGGGGGATGATGATTTTTATGGAGAAGCATGTACAATGTGGATGACCCCTATTAAAATATATGTACAAAGCAAGTGAACACCCCTGCATGTCATGTACAAAATTAATGGCCCCCCTCCCATTTTTTTTAATATTCAGTGTACAAAATTGGTGACATCTCCTTAGTGCATGTGTACAAAATCAATAGGGATAGGGATAAAACACACACACACACACCCACCCACACCCCTCAAGATCAGCAGCAATCAGCAGCCCCCTAGCCATAAATTATGAACTGTTTATGAGAGCAAAATCTGCTAACCAAGTCATCAAGATGTGTAGCGGAGCAGAGTGAGTTATTATGTCGGTTTCTGTCTCACTGAAAATCAGATCTAGTTTAATCCAGTTCTGTAGTCACCACTGTCAGCTCCGTAGAAGGTTTTGTTAGGTGAACCGTTGAAAATGTTTCATTCTCCAATCAAAACAAAAGATGCATTTGTTCTTGAGCCAAGATGGTGGATGCATCAGAATGTGAATCAGAAATAATTCTTTGTTTCTTTTCTGCCATGATTCAGAAATATTTATCTCTGCCAATTAAAACTTTCATACTCCATTGTAACTTATTTGTCTGCAGGCGCCATGGTGTTCCCAAACAACTCTACGTGTAAATATATTCGCTGTGCAATATCATGGCGTCATATTTTGTATACTGTAGTGGTGTTCTGAGTGAATTGAAATAATCGAAGATTGGTCGCTATGACCATACGACCAAGCAATCGATCACATTTTCGCATAATCGAACACAAATGATTTTGGAACCACTGTTGTAGTGTTTGAAATACTTTACAAATCTTAGAAGTTGTCAGGGCTTGATAACATGATTAATTCTTAGGAAACTTACTTCACTAACTGAAAAGTTAAGACTCTAGGAAGTTATGTTCATGATATATTAGTCATCACTTTAAAGTAGCAAGTTGCATCATTTTACATTGTATGTGAAATTTGCAAATGCAAACTGCACAGTTTCTAAGTTAAACCCTCCCCAAAAAACAAAAACAACAGAGAAACATGTTATACGTATCTGCAATAAAAACCTGAATAGGAAAATATGAAAGATGACGCTTACCAATTTATTTTCATGATTACCCGTTGGTAATGAACCAATTATCAATTGTGAAAATTTCAACCAATTCCCAACACTAGTATACTGTATATCAAAGTAAAATATAAGATTTTAATGAGACAACTATGAGAGTTGTTGCAATTTGGGGATCTTTTTCATGCTTGTAATTGCAACATGTTTCAGAAAATGGCTGAGGATTTCTGTGACAACAAGATCTCAGTGGAGGAGTTCGTGAACCAATACATCAGCCAGAGAACTGTAGCACACACGCGGAAAGTCAAAGTGGACAAAATGACAGAACTTTTGCGTAACATGCATGCAGAGAACCACCCAACACTGCACAGGCAACAGAGTGCATCAATGAATGCATCCTGGCACGGCTCCAACCCACCAGGGGGCGCCGGTAACAGTCCAGCACCCTACCCCACTAACGGCTCATTTAGGATGCCACAACCTGGGTACTACAACCGCTGACGTCTTCTCTGATCTGGTGGGGAAAATTGGTGTTGATCGGTGTGTGATGGCAAGACTTTATAAGACTGAGAGATTACAAGAATTGAGGGGTTTCAGGCTTCAGTGCACACATGCAAAAGTGTAACCATGGTAACAATAACATTGACGCTTTGTTGGAAATTAATTGTGACTGAGCATCAAGTCTGTAAGCACGGTAAGAAAGACAAAAATTAAGTCATGTTTTTGTCCACTTTCAGTTGGTATGAAGCGATAAAACTAGAAATACATGTAACTTTGTTTTTCTTCCCAAATTGGTGTGAGGGGTTTGCTTGCTGGTTTCTTTTAAAACATTAGTTGTGCTTCAACACCTCACAAAGCAAGACGTACATGTTAAAGGTTCAGTATGTGATAGGATACATGAAAATCTGACAGATGTCAGTGACTGACACATGAATACTATCCAAGCCAACCTGTATTTAGTAATTTTGATTCATGTGTGACGGTTACTGCTGATTATTGGAAAACAATGTTAAATTCACATACTTTTTTTGCAATGTGATTACACATGGTACGCCATGGTCCATCTGAGTCTAGTTGTTGCAGCTGTCCTGGTTATCAGTTTTGGATGTTGCTCTGTCAGGTTTAAAGAAACTTTAAATCTGCATGCTCAGAATTTTTGATTTTCTTAAACCCTTTATTGTATTAAAGTTTTGCTGATTGCTCAATGCATGGTTTTATTTGCAGTATAGGTCAACTTACTGTACAATGCCTCAGTGACTCCTGGACATCTTGTCCAAAGTTATAAGTAAATAGGGGCGTGGGTAGCCTAGTGGTTAAAGCATTTGCTCGTCACACCAAAGGTTCGATTCCCCACATGGGTGAGAATGTGTCAAGCCAAATTCTGGTGTCCCCGCCATGATGTTGCCGGAATATTGCTAAAAGCGGTGTAAAACCATACTCACTCACTGTAAGTAAATGGTAATTTCAGAGTGCTTGGATTGCTCTGTGAGACATGTCAATACTTTTATGCCCAATTTTATAACGCTTTTCTTTGAACTTGAATATTCATTGAGTGAAAATCTTCTTGAGCATGCTACCTGCTGGTTTGAAAATGGAGACTTTCCTTTTGGCTGTAGACATGCTATCTGACTGACAACTAATTGTTTAATTACCTGTGATATTATTGTGACAATGCATCCGTAATGATCATGATATCTTGTGTCAGAGGATATACTATTTGTAATGACATTGATATCCAGTGTCATGGGGTATTATACTATAACATCTGTAATGACCTTGATATCCTGTGTCACATGGTATAACATCTGTAATGACCTTGACATACAGTGTCATGGGGTATAACATCTGTAATGACCTTGATATCCTGTGTCATGGTATAACATCTGTAATGACATTGACATACAGTGTCATGGGGTATAACATCTGTAATGACCTTGACATAGTGTCATGGGTATAACATCTGTAATGACCTTGACATACAGTGTCATAGGGTATAACATGTGTGATAGACCTCGACACACAGTGTCATGGGGTATAACATCAATAATAACCTTGACAGTGTATGCCTGTATTACATCAGTAGTGATCATGATGACCTCACTATAGCCTTCAAGCATTATGATATATTTTCTGAAGTGGGTTTGTAAATTGCATAGCCTGAGCCTATCCTGCTATGCTGATGTTTCCATGTGTGAGGGTTGCTTGATGTACAGAGTGCCCACTTACCTGACCTGAGAGATGTTTGATTACACATTCACAGATGACAAAATATGTATCCAAGATCGCGTGATAACTGAACACTTATGGCACCACAAAATTGCAGTGATATATATTTTTCTTGCATATTTTGTTTTGAACCAGTGTACTCTATGCACAACAGTCAATGCCATGTACTAACACAAGAAATACAGGGATCTGATGAACTTCCTTCAATTATGGAGAAGCTGCTTTCAGTGTTAGTGATGTAGTTGAAACCAGCATTAGGCTAGATCAGCGGTTCAGCTCTGTGTATCTGTTACTATAGTTACCTCTCCTCATTAGATTGTGTATTCACATTCCTCGTTTTCCCTATGTAAGACCTTGATGGTTTTTCAACATCTTCATTAACCTTGGTAACTGATCAAAGTGTAACGTATCCATATGATATTGCCAATTTGACAGAAAAAAAACAATTGTCAAGGAAAAGGGTTATTGAAGTTATTGAAATAAATATGTAAGAAACCAATACATTAAGTTAGTTTAACATTTCTGCTTTCCGAGTCAGTCAATGTTATTCGATAGTTTGTGGCGGACATGTCGTCTGGGACACAGACGTTCGTTATGCAGAGTTATGTCCCTTACCTGTGCTCAGAACATTTAAAAGATATCGGGATTTTATGTTTCTCATACTCATAGGTTTCAACAAATCTAAAAGTTGTACACATCTTAGACACGCGTCACTTTATATTTTCCCTTTGAACAAGCCGACACATCTTGATATTGCAGAAATACCTTTTTTAGCCCTAGCTGTAAAGACTACTCCCTCCATCTGTCAGTACTTCATAAAGGACGTCAAAATGTGATATTTGAAATCTGAATAATCTAAATTCAGTTCATCCATTAGCCCCCTCATTACAATTTTCTCGTCATTTTGGTTTGAGCAAATCTTCCTCCTTTTTGAAATTTGGTTTCGCATACAATGCAGGTTGAAGATTTGAGTCACAGGTCATGTTATGTGTTTGGAGTTACCAGCCCTTGTTACTGACGCGAGGCTCTGGATCTGTGGCTCCAGTCATAGCTCCCCACAGTGCCAGGTGTCCTGCAACCGTGCATGGAATGAACAATGTTTGGGTAGTAACGCTCACAAATAAGAGGTGGCTGCTGTAACCCTAATTCCCCAGGTCAAGCCCAGCTAATTTGTTATGTTTATAAGTTTATATTTCGATTTGATTTCAACAAGCAATGTAAGTGGTTCGAGAGAAATGTAATGGTGGCATTAGCTGCTTTTCTGTTCTCACGTCTGCAATCTCAAACCAACGTGATGAGAGGCAAACTACGTCAGGCAATCGTCCACAGTCAACTAAAATGGCGGTACCAAAGACATATACAAAAACATGTCAGTATTTGGGGTAAAAGGGAAATTTTCAAAGATTCTCGTTACTGATACTTCAGTGTATGAAATAAGCTAAAAACCTAGCCGTAATGGATTTAACCAGACCAGACACCAAGATATGGTGAATTTACTCAGATGTATGGAACATAAAAAATTTGTAGCAGACCATCGGGCTGGGTAGCTGTAAATCTAGACCGTCCGTCAGAAATCTAGCCCGTCTCGGGCGTTCGGACGGGCCTTATTTCATACAGTGGATACTTTCACACTGGTGCTGTGTGTTCCAATAAGAGACAGTAATATACATTTTGTATCTAAATATGTACATGCCCTTGTAGATTACTCGGAATTAGAAGACAGTGTGAGTGAATCACTCGAGTAATGATTTCTCAGATAAAAGCTTGAGAGAAAGACCTAATATGTCTGGTATTTGCCCGACTACAAGTAATCTGCATCAGGGGCTGATGTTAAAGGTTGATGAATAACATCAGATCACACTGATGAAGGCATGCCTTATCTCACCTGATTTTTACCCTGTTTATATCCTTGTTGATTTGTATTATTTCAGTTCTATTTTTTCCACATATACATGTTCAGGTACCAAGGTATTTAGGCTAGCCTAACAGTCTCTTTAATTGGTTCTGTTTTACTGATCTTCAATTGTGAAGATAATGGAAAGACATATTTGATACAAATAGTTTTATTGTAGCAAATATTTTTTGCTTATTACCTTAATTCGAATGTGTATGAGATGCTTCTTTTACTATTTATTCCCTATTTATGATATTAATGCGTAAAATATTGATTCCCATGTTTGATTTAATAATACTCTAAAATATACGTTATTTATGATAGCATAAATATTTAGATGTTGCAAATATCATTTACATATCATAAGAATTATGATATATGTGATATATTCTATTTACCCTGAAAGTGAAGTTTGAAGTTAAAATGTATTTTATGATACTGCACATTCAGTATAGTTATATGTATAATTCATGTTATAATCAAATTAGTGATATCATCAATTTATCTCTGAAGGGGAAGAGTTCAGTAAATGTTTTCAGTTTCTTATCATCAATGTTATGTTTCAAATTAATGATCACACTAATTTAAAAATCACTTTATCATTTTGTGATATCAGTGATTCCATGTATTTATATTTAAACTACATTAGTTCATTGTCAGAAATATGATATCAGTTATTGAAGTATTGATATCATAAAGAGGGAATAAAGAGTAAAACAGTGTCCACTGTGAGCGAGGATACAACCTGCTGCCTGAAACACAGGCCCTGGCAAGTCCATGTTTGGTGATAATGTATCATGTCTTTGTGAATAAATTATTTTTAAAACTGAGTAGATTTTGTTAGACACTATTTAATATATTTGCGCCAGTGTGATTAAAGTTTGGGTGATTGGGACAAGACAGTCTCATTGGCAATATTTCCGCGGTGTTGTGATATAAAAAAGTGGCAAAATATCATCTAAAATAAATCTTATATTTTATTGGCATATTTTGCAAAGATGAAAAAAATGTTCTTTAATGTTGTAACTGGGAGAATTACAGGAGTGCTACGACAGCTTGTAAATAATCCAGTTTGATGTGTCGGCAATTAAGTGTTTCATTTGCTGATCAAAATATGTTTTTCCCAAGCGTGTCTCGGTACAAGGTGTATAGTTCATGAGCATTGATCTACGCAAATGGGATACGATGACAGCCAAATCAGAAATCCTGACCACCCGATCCCGTTAGTCGCCTCTTACGACAAGCAGGTGCCATAAAAGACCACGACCTTGAGGATATAATCCACGCTAATTATGCACGTGTCTTTGGCTGTGTGTTCTTGTCCCACTTTTGTGAGGTACCAAACAGTTTCACAGCGTCAGATTATACTGACTCAGAGCCAATCAGTGTTTGTTTCCGCAATGCCGAGCTCCAGGCAATGTCACGGCAATTGCAGTCGTGAGCCATGATAAATCCGGAATATTACAGACTGCGGCACACTCTCCCGCCCTCCTCTCAAACAATACATTATTAAGGGTAAACAGATTTATTGTAAAATAGTTTTATTTGGAATGAAAATATATAAACAATAACAGTATATACAGTGTGACGTAACAAGGCCAGTGAAACCAGCATTCAATTGATTGCACATGAAACCACTGACTTCCTTTGAAGCCTTGGAGATTCTGTTCCACTTTTGACGAACCTAATGTCATTTTACTTCTTTGTCATGGATTGTCCCTAGAGACGGAGTTAATGTCATTTTACTTCTTTGTCATTGATTATCACAGACGTATTCACGTATCAAGGGAGGGAATAGCTTTCTTAACAATCTGTTACAAAACGTTTATCGGCACCAGTGTGATATACTCAACGTATAATAAATTCAATACCATTAATGTTATACTATGATAATTTCATCGTTTTAGCATAATTTCCACTAGCGCAAAAATTCAAATGGAAGCAAATAAGTTTCTCTAAAATAAACTCATCTTTGTACCCTGTCATTAAGTAGTGTCCCAAATGTTTAGACAATGAAGTAACATTTGTTTGTGTCTTGTCACTGTCGCCCCCACGTGATCACTTCATGTCACGTGTCAAGCAACTAATCATCACAGAGCACCGGGAAAGCTCGTCTCTAAAATGTTATATCACTTGTTTCACAGTTCACACAATTATATCACGACCAAGTGTTTCAATCTGGTCGAGAAAATAGTCCATGTCTTCAAACGTTGTCCCTGAACTCTGCAGCACCAACCGGAAGAAGTTGACATGCTCTTTCTGTGGCTGGTAGGTAATCATCATGGACCCTGTGCGGATCATGCGCTCCTTGATAAGCGGCGCCACCTTGTGGAGTCGAGCACGGAATTCTGGGCCTTCCGGGACTTTCCTCAGTGATGGTGGGATGTACCAGAAGCAGACATTGGTCAGTTGTGGTTCTGAGACGACCAATTGAAAGCCTTCTCGCACTTTAAGTCTTTCTACAAAATACTTGGTGTTGTCGAACAGAGTGTTGACGTGTTGCTCCAAACCTCGTGTACCCTGGAAAAGGAAACATAGGATGATTTACTATTTCTTACACACTTGTAGTCCATTTCATACATTTATTCCATTGCATCATATTGTTTATATGAAATGAAAAATATGAACTTTTACGGGTACTATTAAATTGAATGCACATTAAGAAACCAGGGGCGGGGAATTTAGTTTGTTTTGCAGATGCCAAAAATATTTGGAGATATCAAAAAAGAACCCCCAAAAGGAAACAAAGAAGCTTGCAGTAATCTAATGTTTCTTTCAGTCAGAAGCAGAATTGATTTTTTAGGATAGTATTTACGATGACACTCAGGTGTGACTGCCTACCTTGGCCTTCCACATGAGCCAAAACTTGAAGACATCGACCTTACGGCCACACTGGAACGTCTTGTCGCCGGTGTCGTAACTGACGTCGTAGAACTTGTCTGGTTGGAAAAGGTAAGATGCCTTGGCGCTGTGAGCCGCCTGCAGCACGCCCTCGTGTTTTGTGAGGAAGGTTGAACATTGCTGTGGAGCACCTAGAAGTTTATGAGGGTTCCAAGTGACTGAATCTGCGCGATCCACGCCTTCCATCAACCCACGATGACGTCGGGACATGAGGACGCCACCTCCCCAAGCACCATCCACGTGAAGCCATAAACCATTAGCGACACAAACGTCGGCGATGTCGTTGATGGGGTCGAAGGCGCCAAACACTGTTGTTCCTGCTGTGGCCACAACTAAGAACGGACGTCCACCCTGGAAAACGAAAATTATTTATAAACTGAACAGTAACCTTGGGACCTTGTACACTAGTTAGGTCAGTCAGAAGGTACAAACAATAAGGGTAAAATACCTGAACAGAAAATAGATACGATATTTCAGCATTAGAGGTATTTGTCGTATTGTCGAACAGTAGAACATGCCATACCTGCTGTTTTGTGTCCTCAATCTGGGCTTCGAGGTCCTCGGGGATCATCCGACCTTGAGCATCAGTCTTGACCAGTCTGACGTTATCATCCCCAAATCCGAGAAGACATCCCGCTTTCCTGATGGAGTAGTGGGCCAGCTCAGACGTGTACAACACCAACTGTGGCAGCCCAAACAGGCCCCGCTTCTTTGTCTCGGGGAACGCCATCTGTCGGGCGCAACTCAACGCCATGATGTTGGCAATGGATCCGCCAGGAGCAAAGATTCCGTCCCCGCCCTCGTAGCCAATCAGTTGTCTCATCTTCGCCAACACCGCCTGTTCCATGACGGTAAAGACGGGAGCGACTTCGTACGTGTAGAGACTGCAGTTGAGAGCGTCCGTCACGAGTTGACCAGCAAGACCATATGGGTCCAGACTGGAGAACAGCTGGTTGACGAAGTGAGGATGACCGGTTTTGACGCTATATTTGATAACGTCCTTGACCCTATCCATAAGCTGTTCATGGCTTTCGCTCGTTGGCTGAGGCTCCAGGTCCATCTTGGCCGATAACTCTTCGGGAGCCATCCATTCAATGACCTTGCCCTCTCGATCTCCGGCCTTTTGGACAATGTCCTCCATGATGACCTTGAAGATGTCACGCAGGAAGTCCTCCTGCCCGGCAGGCTGGGTGCGGAAGGTCGTGCTGTTACCGGAAATGACGGAATCGCAGCTCTCCTCTTCAAGAGATTCCATATCTCTCAGACCCCAGACAGCACTGTCGTCCGACAACTCGCTCACGTCGCCACAACTGCTGTTGTCGTCTACAGACACCATGGTTGTGTCTTCAGACTTCCCAAATTTCATAAGCTTCGCGGGTGGAGCCAAGAAGTTACGTCTGTCCAAACCTTAATGAAAAAAAGAAATAGTTAGTAAAACTGTACGAAACCAATCGAAATGACAATTGTTAACTGATAACAATCGTTTCTGAAATGTAGCTTGCCCCACTAGAAATTAAGTGATTTATGTTATGCAGTCCTTATAGCTAACAAAAATTAAAAGAAGATCTCACGTGTCCGTAGATCAATACAGCCATCAATAATCAAATTTATCTTCGTAACGATACAAGTGAGTGAGTGAGTATGGTTTTACGCGGATTTAGTAATATTCCAGCAATATTACCGCGGGGCACACCAGAAATGGGCTTCGCACATTGTGGAAACTAGATGTGGGGAGTAGAACCCGGGCTTTCAGTGTGACGAGCGAACGGTTTAACCACTAAGCTATCCCACCGCCCGTAACGATACGAGGTTACGAAATACACACTTGCATATGTTTGCATGTGAAATTAAAGACCTCTAGGACTTGGTAGTTCACCAGGTCAGCAATATCTTAAGACTATTCCACATAATGTCTCATTCTATCGACCACATGTTTGCAGAGTGCATGGTTATATAAGGCGACGACGTCAGTCGAGGCGATGACGGATAGACGAGTGTTCCTTGTTCAATGTTTGAGCAAGCAACCATTATAGTTCTTAATGTCAGCCTTAAGTGTCAATACGCACAGTATATTGAGTAAGACATAAATTATATTATACAATATATACTGACATCCTATTAACTTTTGAGTAACTAAGACCAATTAAAAATTATCGACTTCAAAATTCGTGCCCATTAATGGTGAGAGTGGGAGCGTGCTTTTTCACGCTGTTCTAGGGACCATTCATAATTTTTGGCTAGGAGGGTGATGATGATTTTTATGGAGAAGCATGTACAATGTGAGTGACCTCCCCTAAAATTTATGTACAAAGTAAGCGGACCCCCCCCCACGCATGTCATGTACAAAATCAATATTTTTTTAGGCATAATTTAAAAACAATTTCGTGTAAAATTGCTGGACCCCGCCCCCAGTACATGTGTACAAAATTGATTACCCCACACACATCCCCACAACAAAAGGGGTGACACCCCCCTCCCCTTTAAAATCATCAACCCCGCTAGACATAGATTATGAACGGTCTCTTAGGGACATTCAGTGATAACAGAGGTGAACGCCAACCACCGCCCACCCAACCTCCTGTACATAGGTATGCTTACTCCACACAGGGTATATTATTAAAGTAAAGCGTAACCTAACCCTCATATTGTAGTGACAAGTGACCATTATCATTAACACGGTAGTGGGATAATGTAGTGACAAGTGACCATTATCATAAACACGGTAGTGTGATAATGTAGTGACAAGTGACCATTATCATTAACACGGTAGTGGGATAATGTAGTGAAAAGTGACCATTATCATTAACACGGTAGTGGGATAATGTAGTGAAAAGTGACCATTATCATAAACACGGTAGTGTGATAATGTAGTGACAAGTGACCATTATCATAAACACGGTAGTGGGATAATGTAGTGACAAGTGACCATTATCATTAACACGGTAGTGGGATAATGTAGTGACAAGTGACCATTATCATTAACACGGTAGTGGGATAATGTAGTGACAAGTGACCATTATCATAAACACGGTAGTGGGATAATGTAGTGAAAAGTGACCATTATCATTAACACGGTAGTGGGATAATGTAGTGACAAGTGACCATTATCATTAACACGGTAGTGTGATAATGTAGTGACAAGTGACCATTATCATTAACACGGTAGTGGGATAATGTAGTGACAACTGACCATTATCATTAACACGGTAGTGTGATAATGTAGTGACAAGTGACCATTATCATTAACACGGTAGTGCGATAATGTAGTGACAAGTGACCATTATCATAAACACGGTAGTGGGATAATGTAGTGAAAAGTGACCATTATCATAAACACGGTAGTGTGATAATGTAGTGAAAAGTGACCATTATCATAAACACGGTAGTGTGATAATGTAGTGACAAGTGACCATTATCATTAACACGGTAGTGGGATAATGTAGTGAAAAGTGACCATTATCATAAACACGGTAGTGTGATAATGTAGTGACAAGTGACCATTATCATTAACACGGTAGTGGGATAATGTAGTGACAAGTGACCATTATCATTAACACGGTAGTGCGATAATGTAGTGACAAGTGACCATTATCATTAACACGGTAGTGGGATAATGTAGTGACAAGTGACCATTATCATTAACACGGTAGTGGGATAATGTAGTGAAAAGTGACCATTATCATTAACACGGTAGTGTGATAATGTAGTGACAAGTGACCATTATCATTAACACGGTAGTGGGATAATGTAGTGAAAAGTGACCATTATCATAAACACGGTAGTGGGATAATGTAGTGACAAGTGACCATTATCATTAACACGGTAGTGTGATAATGTAGTGACAAGTGACCATTATCATTAACACGGTAGTGCGATAATGTAGTGACAAGTGACCATTATCATTAACACGGTAGTGGGATAATGTAGTGACAAGTGACCATTATCATTAACACGGTAGTGGGATAATGTAGTGACAAGTGACCATTATCATTAACACGGTAGTGGGATAATGTAGTGACAAAGTGACCATTATCATTAACACGGTAGTGGGATAATGTAGTGAAAAGTGACCATTATCATAAACGGTAGTGGATAATGTAGTGACAAGTGACCATTATCATTAACACGGTAGTGGGATAAAGTGACCATTATCATTAACACGGTAGTGGGATAATGTAGTGACAAGTGACCATTATCATTAACACGGTAGTGGGATAATGTAGTGACAAGTGACCATTATCATTAACACGGTAGTGGGATAATGTAGTGAAAAGTGACCATTATCATTAACACGGTAGTGGGATAATGTAGTGAAAAGTGACCATTATCATTAACACGGTAGTGGGATAATGAAGTGACAAGTGACCATTATCATTAACACGGTAGTGGGATAATGTAGTGACAAGTGACCATTATCATTAACACGGTAGTGTGATAATGTAGTGACAAGTGACCATTATCATTAACACGGTAGTGGGATAATGTAGTGACAAGTGACCATTATCATTAACACGGTAGTGGGATAATGTAGTGACAAGTGACCATTATCATTAACACGGTAGTGGGATAATGTAGTGACAAGTGACCATTATCATTAACACGGTAGTGGGATAATGTAGTGACAAGTGACCATTATCATAAACACGGTAGTGGGATAATGTAGTGAAAAGTGACCATTATCATTAACACGGTAGTGGGATAATGAAGTGACAAGTGACCATTATCATTAACACGGTAGTGGGATAATGTAGTGACAAGTGACCATTATCATTAACACGGTAGTGGGATAATGTAGTGACAAGTGACCATTATCATTAACACGGTAGTGCGATAATGTAGTGACAAGTGACCATTATCATTAACACGGTTGTGGGATAATGTAGTGACAAGTGACCATTATCATTAACACGGTAGTGGGATATTGTAGTGATAACAAGTGACCATTATCATTAACACGGTAGTGGGATAATGTAGTGACAAGTGACCATTATCATTAACACGGTAGTGGGATAATGTAGTGACAAGTGACCATTATCATTAACACGGTAGTGGGATAATGTAGTGACAAAGTGACCATTATCATTAACACGGTAGTGCGATAATGTAGTGACAAGTGACCATTATCATTAACACGGTAGTGGGATAATGTAGTGACAAGTGACCATTATCATTAACACGGTAGTGGGATAATGTAGTGAAAAGTGACCATTATCATTAACACGGTAGTGGGATAATGTAGTGAAAAGTGACCATTATCATTAACACGGTAGTGTGATAATGTAGTGACAAGTGACCATTATCATTAACACGGTAGTGGGATAATGTAGTGAAAAGTGACCATTATCATAAACACGGTAGTGGGATAATGTAGTGACAAGTGACCATTATCATTAACACGGTAGTGGGATAATGTAGTGACAAGTGACCATTATCATTAACACGGTAGTGGGATAATGTAGTGAAAAGTGACCATTATCATTAACACGGTAGTGGGATAATGTAGTGAAAAGTGACCATTATCATTAACACGGTAGTGGGATAATGTAGTGACAAGTGACCATTATCATAAACACGGTAGTGGGATAATGTAGTGAAAAGTGACCATTATCATTAACACGGTAGTGGGATAATGTAGTGAAAAGTGACCATTATCATAAACACGGTAGTGGGATAATGTAGTGAAAAGTGACCATTATCATTAACACGGTAGTGGGATAATGAAGTGACAAGTGACCATTATCATTAACACGGTAGTGGGATAATGTAGTGACAAGTGACCATTATCATTAACACGGTAGTGTGATAATGTAGTGACAAGTGACCATTATCATTAAACACGGTAGTGGTGATAATGTAGTGACAAGTGACCATTATCATTAACACGGTTGTGGGATAATGTAGTGACAAGTGACCATTATCATTAACACGGTAGTGGGATATTGTAGTGACAAGTGACCATTATCATTAACACGGTAGTGGGATAATGTAGTGACAAGTGACCATTATCATTAACACGGTAGTGTGATAATGTAGTGACAAGTGACCATTATCATTAACACGGTAGTGCGATAATGTAGTGACAAGTGACCATTATCATTAACACGGTAGTGGGATAATGTAGTGACAAGTGACCATTATCATTAACACGGTAGTGGGATAATGTAGTGACAAGTGACCATTATCATTAACACGGTAGTGGGATAATGTAGTGACAAGTGACCATTATCATTAACACGGTAGTGTGATAATGTAGTGACAAGTGACCATTATCATTAACACGGTAGTGGGATAATGTAGTGACAAGTGACCATTATCATTAACACGGTAGTGGGATAATGTAGTGACAAGTGACCATTATCATTAACACGGTAGTGGGATAAGGCAGTGACAAGTGACCATTATCATTAACACGGTAGTGGGATAATGTAGTGACAAGTGACCATTATCATAAACACGGTAGTGGGATAATGAAGTGAAAAGTGACCATTATCATTAACACGGTAGTGGGATAATGAAGTGACAAGTGACCATTATCATTAACACGGTAGTGGGATAATGTAGTGACAAGTGACCATTATCATTAACACGGTAGTGGGATAATGTAGTGACAAGTGACCATTATCATTAACACGGTAGTGCGATAATGTAGTGACAAGTGACCATTATCATTAACACGGTAGTGGGATAATGAAGTGACAAGTGACCATTATCATTAACACGGTAGTGGGATAATGTAGTGACAAGTGACCATTATCATTAACACGGTAGTGGGATAATGTAGTGACAAGTGACCATTATCATTAACACGGTAGTGGGATAATGTAGTGACAAGTGACCATTATCATTAACACGGTAGTGTGATAATGTAGTGACAAGTGACCATTATCATTAACACGGTAGTGCGATAATGTAGTGACAAGTGACCATTATCATTAACACGGTAGTGGGATAATGTAGTGACAAGTGACCATTATCATTAACACGGTAGTGGGATAATGTAGTGAAAAGTGACCATTATCATTAACACGGTAGTGTGATAATGTAGTGACAAGTGACCATTATCATTAACACGGTAGTGGGATAATGTAGTGAAAAGTGACCATTATCATAAACACGGTAGTGTGATAATGTAGTGACAAGTGACCATTATCATTAACACGGTAGTGGGATAATGTAGTGACAAGTGACCATTATCATTAACACGGTAGTGGGATAATGTAGTGACAAGTGACCATTATCATTAACACGGTAGTGTGATAATGTAGTGACAAGTGACCATTATCATTAACACGGTAGTGGGATAATGTAGTGACAAGTGACCATTATCATTAACACGGTAGTGGGATAATGTAGTGACAAGTGACCATTATCATTAACACGGTAGTGGGATAATGTAGTGAAAAGTGACCATTATCATTAACACGGTAGTGGGATAATGTAGTGACAAGTGACCATTATCATAAACACGGTAGTGGGATAATGTAGTGAAAAGTGACCATTATCATTAACACGGTAGTGGGATAATGTAGTGACAAGTGACCATTATCATTAACACGGTAGTGGGATAATGTAGTGACAAGTGACCATTATCATTAACACGGTAGTGGGATAATGTAGTGACAAGTGACCATTATCATTAACACGGTAGTGCGATAATGTAGTGACAAGTGACCATTATCATTAACACGGTAGTGGGATAATGTAGTGACAAGTGACCATTATCATTAACACGGTAGTGGGATAATGTAGTGACAAGTGACCATTATCATTAACACGGTAGTGGGATAATGTAGTGACAAGTGACCATTATCATTAACACGGTAGTGGGATAATGTAGTGACAAGTGACCATTATCATTAACACGGTAGTGTGATAATGTAGTGACAAGTGACCATTATCATTAACACGGTAGTGCGATAATGTAGTGACAAGTGACCATTATCATTAACACGGTAGTGGGATAATGTAGTGACAAGTGACCATTATCATTAACACGGTAGTGGGATAATGTAGTGAAAAGTGACCATTATCATTAACACGGTAGTGTGATAATGTAGTGACAAGTGACCATTATCATTAACACGGTAGTGGGATAATGTAGTGAAAAGTGACCATTATCATAAACACGGTAGTGTGATAATGTAGTGACAAGTGACCATTATCATTAACACGGTAGTGGGATAATGTAGTGACGGTAGTGGATAAAGTGACCATTATCATTAACACGGTAGTGGGATAATGTAGTGACAAGTGACCATTATCATTAACACGGTAGTGGGATAATGTAGTGAAAAGTGACCATTATCATTAACACGGTAGTGTGATAATGTAGTGACAAGTGACCATTATCATTAACACGGTAGTGTGGATAATGTAGTGTAGTGACAAGTGACCATTATCATTAACACGGTAGTGTGATAATGTAGTGACAAGTGACCATTATCATTAACACGGTAGTGGGATAATGTAGTGACAAGTGACCATTATCATTAACACGGTAGTGGGATAATGTAGTGACAAGTGACCATTATCATTAACACGGTAGTGGGATAATGTAGTGAAAAGTGACCGGTAGTGTGATAATTATCATTATCATTAACACGGTAGTGGGATAATGTAGTGAAAAGTGACCATTATCATTAACACGGTAGTGGGATAATGTAGTGACAAGTGACCATTATCATTAACACGGTAGTGGGATAATGTAGTGACAAGTGACCATTATCATTAACACGGTAGTGTGATAATGTAGTGACAAGTGACCATTATCATTAACACGGTAGTGCGATAATGTAGTGACAAGTGACCATTATCATTAACACGGTAGTGGGATAATGTAGTGAAAAGTGACCATTATCATTAACACGGTAGTGGGATAAGGTAGTGAAAAGTGACCATTATCATTAACACGGTAGTGTGATAATGTAGTGACAAGTGACCATTATCATTAACACGGTAGTGGGATAATGTAGTGACAAGTGACCATTATCATTAACACGGTAGTGGGAATGTATCGCTCACTTCACATGATCAGACTTTCCCGGAGAATATTTCGATTACAATGGGAAATCAATCAAAATTCAGCTTCAAGGCCACCTACAGCTTCTAAAGTATAAACTGACAGTAAGATAGCATTACGTTTGTTGATATTCGATCCTACGAGACCAGAAAGAGATCAGTTTTATGGGACTTTCAGCACTAATCATACAATATTAGAATTAAATGACGCATGGATTTGAACCCAGGGCTATGTGTGAAGTGCGAACGCGAAACAACAAGGCCAACTAACCCACGCAGCTGAGCCGACTAAAACCAAGGAAGGAAATAAAATGTACCCAACACTGTATCGTTACCTATATAGACGTCCTGAAACGTAGACGCTATTTAAATTATTTTCAAATATACATTCAATGTCTCTGTCTCCATAAAGGAATGTCCCACATTCAATCATCAGTATTATAACCTCTGTAAAATTACAGCTAATAATTAGAATGATATGACGTAAATCTTGAAAAATCTTGTCTACGCCACACGCCACAACCTTTTACATTAAAAATCAATAAGAATAAGCTTATTACAATGTATTCTATTTCTAGAATATTTATTCTATCATAATAAGGTATTTGTCTTACAATATGTCTGACAATAAAATAATCTGTACTTCAAATGAATTAAAAGAGATATTTGGATAATAAAATTAAAATCTTACCATTTCTGGTATCTCTTGAGGTGACAGATTCTGATTCCATTCTTGGCTGTGAAGATTTGTGAAAAGATTTCTGGTGTTCGTTCTTCCCTTATGCGCATCTTGGAGGGTTGTTCGTCTTTTATACTACCGGCAAAATGCTAATTAGATAATTTTCCACATCGGAAAACTACTCCGCTACGAAGCAATCGGTTTCCCTGGAATAAAGGGTGAAGGTCGCGGGGAATTCCCCATTCGAGATCGTTCAAATATATGTATTGATGAACGCGAGTGCACGCGGTGACGTCACTAAGCCGCCTTCCCGCACCTCGCTGTGTGTTACTAAGTCCATTTTCATCTCGTCCCTCGGTAAGATCTGGGTAGTCGAGTAACTGTCAATCAAGCAAATGCAAAACATTAAAAAAAATAATTAAGAACACAATTGTTATTGATGTGGTCGTTTCCTTCGGCCGTGTGTATTATATCAGCGGTAACTTCTACATGATGTGGGTTCTCTCCTGTTCAGGCGATCTCGAAGCAATAAAGGGAGACCACCCGCATGTTACCCTGTGTCCAACTGAAAGTGGATACCGGCTCGCCAGTCACGACAACAACTGTAACATATCACGTGTTATGTCCATTATTGCGGCATTTGACATAGCCCTCAGCTGACGAAGTGCGTGGTTTACTGCGCCGGATTTTTCTTTCTTATCTCGAAATTTATTGCCAAATATGCTTACAAAATTTCCTATGAGGCGGATTGAAGGGTTCCTTCCTCATTGCTGACCAGTGGCGATGACTGGTAGATGAGGCCATGGCTAGCCGTGAAGCATTGTGGCAACAATGTGGTATAACGGGTGTATATGTCACAATGTATATATAGTTAGACTAACGCATAGTGTCTGAATATGCATGTTTCTGACAGTAACAAATAAACCCATTTAAATTGAAAAAGAGTCCCCGGGAGACCAGAGATTCAGAAACTGATTTTCTTCATTTAGAGTTTTAGCATTGCAGTCAGGGCTGGACAGTAGGGAACATATATAATATGGTTCCGGGACTGTGAGACAGACTAATATATAGCCACCAGTAACACAGATATACTACTACATATAACCTGCAATAACACGTATGTATCAGCAAGTGTAGCCATCAGTAACAGATATACCGCTACATATAGCCTGCAATAACACCAGCAGGTATAGCCATCAGTAACAGATATATCACTATATATAACCTGCAATAACATATCAGCAGGTATAGCCATCAGTAACAGATATATCACTCCATATAACCTGCAATAACATATCAGCAGGTATCGCCATCAGTAACAGATATACCACTACATATAGCCTGCAATAACATATCAGCAGGTATAGCCATCAGTAACAGATATACCACTACATATAACCTGCAATAACATATCAGCAGGTATAGCCATCAGTAACAGATATACCACTACATATAGCCTGCAATAACATATCAGCAGGTATAGCCATCAGTAACAGATATACCACTACATATAACCTGCAATAACATATCAGCAGGTATAGCCATCAGTAACAGATATACCACTCCATATAACCTGCAATAACATATCAGCAGGTATAGTCATCAGTAATAGATATATCACTACATATAACCTGCAATAACATATCAGCAGGTATGTTCATCAGTAAAAGATATATCACTACATATAACCTGCAATAACACGTATGTATCAGCAAGTGTAGCCATCAGTAACAGATATACCACTACGTATAGCCTGCAATAACATATCAGCAGGTATGTTCATCAGTAATAGATATATCACTACATATAACCTGCAATAACATATCAGCAGGTATAGTCATCAGTAACAGATATATCACTACATATAGCCTGCAATAACATATCAGCAAGTATAGCCATCAGTAACAGATATACCACTACATATAAACTGCAATAACATATCAGCAGGTATAGCCATCAGTAACAGATATATTACTACATATAGCCTGCAATAACATATCAGCAAGTATAGCCATCAGTAACAGATATACCACTACATATAACCTGCAATAACATATCAGCAAGTATAGCCATCAGTAACAGATATATCACTACATATAGCCTGCAATAACATATCAGCAGGTATGTTCATCAGTAATAGATATACCACTACATATAACCTGCAATAACATATCAGCAGGTACAGCCATCAGTAATAGATATATCACTACATATAGCCTGCAATAACATATCAGCAGGTATGTTCATCAGTAATAGATATACCACTACATATAACCTGCAATAACATATCAGCAGGTACAGCCATCAGTAATAGATATATCACTCCATATAACCTGCAATAACATATCAGCAGGTACAGTCATCAGTAATAGATATATCACTCCATATAACCTGCAATAACATATCAGCAGGTATAGCCATCAGTAATAGATATATCACTCCATATAACCTGCAATAACATATCAGCAGGTACAGCCATCAGTAATAGATATATCACTACATATTACCTGCAATAACATATTAGCAGGTATCGCCATCAGTAATAGATATATCACTCCATATAACCTGCAATAACATATCAGCAGGTACAGCCATCAGTAATAGATATATCACTCCATATAACCTGCAGTAACATATCAGCAGGTGCAGCCATCAGTAATAGATATATCACTCCATATAACCTGCAATAACATATCAGCAGGTATCGCCATCAGTAATAGATATATCACTCCATATAACCTGCAATAACATATCAGCAGGTATCGCCATCAGTAATAGATATATCACTCCATATAACCTGCAATAACATATCAGCAGGTATAACCATCAGTAATAGATATATCACTCCATATAACCTGCAATAACATATCAGCAGGTACAGTCATCAGTAATAGATATATCACTCCATATAACCTGCAATAACATATCAGCAGGTGCAGCCATCAGTAACAGATATATCACTCCATATAACCTGCAATAACATATCAGCAGGTATCGCCATCAGTAATAGATATATCACTACATATAGCCTGCAATAACATATCAGCAAGTATAGCCATCAGTAACAGATATACCACTACATATAACCTGCAATAACATATCAGCAGGTATAGCCATCAGTAACAGATATATCACTACATATAGCCTGCAATAACATATCAGCAAGTATAGCCATCAGTAACAGATATACCACTACATATAAACTGCAATAACATATCAGCAGGTACAGCCATCAGGAACAGATATATCACTACATATAGCCTGCAATAACATATCAGCAGGTATGTTCATCAGTAATAGATATACCACTACATATAACCTGCAATAACATATCAGCAGGTACAGCCATCAGTAATAGATATATCACTCCATATAACCTGCAATAACATATCAGCAGGTACAGCCATCAGTAATAGATATATCACTCCATATAACCTGCAATAACATATCAGCAGGTATAGCCATCAGTAATAGATATATCACTCCATATAACCTGCAATAACATATCAGCAGGTATAGCCATCAGTAATAGATATATCACTCCATATAACCTGCAATAACATATCAGCAGGTATAGCCATCAGTAATAGATATATCACTCCATATAACCTGCAATAACATATCAGCAGGTACAGCCATCAGTAATAGATATATCACTACATATTACCTGCAATAACATATTAGCAGGTATCGCCATCAGTAATAGATATATCACTCCATATAACCTGCAATAACATATCAGCAGGTACAGCCATCAGTAATAGATATATCACTCCATATAACCTGCAGTAACATATCAGCAGGTGCAGCCATCAGTAATAGATATATCACTCCATATAACCTGCAATAACATATCAGCAGGTATCGCCATCAGTAATAGATATATCACTCCATATAACCTGCAATAACATATCAGCAGGTATCGCCATCAGTAATAGATATATCACTCCATATAACCTGCAATAACATATCAGCAGGTATAACCATCAGTAATAGATATATCACTCCATATAACCTGCAATAACATATCAGCAGGTACAGTCATCAGTAATAGATATATCACTCCATATAACCTGCAATAACATATCAGCAGGTACAGCCATCAGTAATAGATATATCACTCCATATAACCTGCAATAACATATCAGCAGGTATCGCCATCAGTAATAGATATATCACTACATATAGCCTGCAATAACATATCAGCAAGTATAGCCATCAGTAACAGATATACCACTACATATAACCTGCAATAACATATCAGCAGGTATAGCCATCAGTAACAGATATATCACTACATATAGCCTGCAATAACATATCAGCAAGTATAGCCATCAGTAACAGATATACCACTACATATAAACTGCAATAACATATCAGCAGGTACAGCCATCAGGAACAGATATATCACTACATATAGCCTGCAATAACATATCAGCAGGTATGTTCATCAGTAATAGATATACCACTACATATAACCTGCAATAACATATCAGCAGGTACAGCCATCAGTAATAGATATATCACTACATATAGCCTGCAATAACATATCAGCAGGTATGTTCATCAGTAATAGATATACCACTACATATAACCTGCAATAACATATCAGCAGGTACAGCCATCAGTAATAGATATATCACTCCATATAACCTGCAATAACATATCAGCAGGTACAGCCATCAGTAATAGATATATCACTCCATATAACCTGCAATAACATATCAGCAGGTATAGCCATCAGTAATAGATATATCACTCCATATAACCTGCAATAACATATCAGCAGGTACAGCCATCAGTAATAGATATATCACTACATATAACCTGCAATAACATATTAGCAGGTATCGCCATCAGTAATAGATATATCACTCCATATAACCTGCAATAACATATCAGCAGGTACAGCCATCAGTAATAGATATATCACTCCATATAACCTGCAGTAACATATCAGCAGGTGCAGCCATCAGTAATAGATATATCACTCCATATAACCTGCAATAACATATCAGCAGGTATCGCCATCAGTAATAGATATATCACTCCATATAACCTGCAATAACATATCAGCAGGTATCGCCATCAGTAATAGATATATCACTCCATATAACCTGCAATAACATATCAGCAGGTATAACCATCAGTAACAGATATATCACTCCATATAACCTGCAATAACATATCAGCAGGTACAGCCATCAGTAATAGATATATTACTCCATATAAC